TTTTTAAGGATTGAATTTGATATTATATTTATAAAATGATATATATTTAAAATTAGTGTGATTTCATTGTTAAATAGATGAAAGTAAAGGTTTTGTTTATAATCTATAATTCTGAATAGCTACTATTTAAATCAAAACTGTAGCTATCCAGAAATAAGTACAGTAGTTCTTATTAATAAAATAGTGATTATTTATTGATAATATTAATATATTTCAAAGAGAGACTGATAAATGTTCTGTTGCAGTGCAAAAAAGAAATAAAGAGAATAAATTGTCTCCACTAAAAATAAGAGTAAGATCTTAACTGTATTTTTTTAATAAAATGTTGTATAGGAATTTTCAGAAGAAATAAATGATGAAGCAATGACTCTCTACTAATCACCATACTGTCAAAACATATCAATAATGTTTTAATATCCAGCAGATCCGAATTCAATGAGGTAAACAATATGGGCATATTGATTTAGAACAGGTTCTAATACTAAGATTACTAGATCTGTTGAACGCTTGACTAATGCTATTCCTAAAATTGTGCCTAGAAAAACATCATTCAATAGCTTTAAATACAGTAAAACTAATTAGAATACAAAATTTGTTTCCACAAAAAAAGGATTTACCTTATTAGTGACAAATACTAATCCTTGTTGATCTCTAAATTATTTTTAACTTTATATTGATTAATACTCCTTTAACTACATTTATTACAATAATCTTTGAGTTAAAAGATTGACTTTTTATGAATTTTCATTTTAACACATTTAATTTAAATCTTCTGTGTTTTATAATAATGTATTATGGTATACGTTAATCATTCAAATTTTAAATGGAGATTCAATTTATTCTAAGATAAAATAATTTCTTAGAAAACCTACTTTCTGAAATTATTTAATTCAAAATATTATTAAGAAGAATTAGAAATATATATATGTCATTTAATTTTTATTTAATGAATGTAATTACAATTAAGAAGCCTTTATAAATAATTACATACATAAAATACAAATTATTAAATAAATATAATCTAAGTGTTAATATGTTAGCATTTTAATCATGTAACATCTCATCCAATTAAATATCTGGTCTCTAACTTTTAAATGTAAATTAATCTAATGAGATTCAATCCTCTTAAGCATCTTCATATTTGCTTCAGGCATTAAATCAATTCCCATCTTAATTATAACAGAAAGCCTAATTATATCAATAAGAAAATTAGAAATTAAAAAATGAGAATCAATCTCTGTAATAATAAGTAAATCATTTAGAAAATAAGCAATAAGAATTGATTAATGAAGTATTATATCATTAGATTTTTTAGATCCATGATTTAAGATAATTAATTAAGAGAGTCAATTAAGAGGGGGAAGTGACAGTTCAATACTTAAAAACTAAAAATGTAAATTATGATATAAAATATTTAAGACTATGCTTGAACATCATAATGACAGTTTAGAAAAAGCCCTCAAAAATTTATAAAATAATATTGAAATGTTTGGACAATTAAAAGAATTTTCTGAGCTTATGAAATAAGAAGTTGATCTTTGATTATCCTATACATTTTAATTAACTACTATTTTATAACAATTAAGATATAATTTTCATTTGAAGTATAAATTAATTATAATATTTTGATATTTAGTATTAAACATCTAAATTATCATCACTCTTGATTATCTATTAAAATTATATAGGTTTGATATCAATAATACCTAATTAAAAATCAAATTAAATACATATTATTAAATATATATTCAAATTAGCATCTCTAAATGAATTTATAAAATATTAAATTTGATTTATTTTTCATGAATATATTATAATTATTTAAGTGATTAAATTATTTAAATAAATTTATGTTATCCTCAAAAACCTTGCCTGAATAAAATTTTGGTGAATTAGCTGAATCTGAGAATTCTAATGAAAAATCACCAAAAACTATTAATTCCTCTAGTTTCCTATCCTTTGAAGAATTGTAAAGCTTTATTTTGGAAGAAATCTAAATAAGTTATGAAGTAATTGAAAATTATGGTACTTCAAAAAATCAATTTAATTTATTAAAAATTATAAATGAATCTGATGTTTAAAATCAAAATATTTATTATTGTATCATAGTCAACTTTACTGATGAATTGTTAAAATAAAAAATAAAAATAGATATCTCAAGGGTTTTATATATTTAATATTTTAGTATTCATTTTAAACTAAATTTTTTGACTTTACAGATTGGCAAGATTAAAAAGATTCATTAGTTTTAAGTGATTCTACAAGTACTACAGAACCTTAAGTTTTTAAAGATTATGTTTCAATAAATTCATAATTTTGTAGAATAATAGTATTTTCTCAAGAATTTGATTAAAAAATAATTGATTTAATTAACAATTATCCTTATATATATTATTGTAGTGATGTAAAAATAGTAAAGGAAGAATATTTAGAAAGTTTAAAATTGCATTAACACTTTTAATAAATAGAAATTAATTACAAAATGATCAAGCATTTAATTTCAACATCGTAATTAATTTATCATTTTTTAAGGTTATAAAGATTAAAGGATATTAAATTTGCAGGGATTTAAATCAAAGGATGTATAGAATATGTGGATAAAATTGATCAAATAAAGATTCATCCTTTGATTGATTATTAAAGAATTGGAAAAAAGTAGATCTAATTTAAATATGACATACCTTTTATCATAATTAATTCATATTTTTACTTACCAATACCTTTAAGTATAAAGAATTTAGAAATCAAAGATCATCTTACTTAATAATTTCAGTCAAAGCCTGTTCACATTTCTTCTAATATTAATCATATTGAAGAGTATGATAAGATTTACATTTTATTAAATGTATATATAGTAATTAACAAAGTCTATTTAAGATCAAATCAAAAAGGATGAACTTTTTTTTTCTATTAATTCAAATAAAGAATTTAATTCACTTGAATCCTTGCTTACATTAAATTAAGTTAATTAAATATAAGACTTAAAAAATCAATTAATAGATGAAGATCATTATTTGAATTTAATAGAAAAAATCCTTATATATTTTTCATAATGTTTGAAATCAACAATTGAAAAATATATTTTATTTGTTTAATTAAAGCAATTAATCCTTTATAGATTGCATAACTCTTATCTGAATTATTGATTAATATCATATATAATCCTAATATTATTTAATTAAATAATTTTATGAATGAGAAAATTATAAGGCCTAACACAAGGATAAATAACAGAAATAGGATAATAGATAAAATTTTCAGTTAAAAATAAAAGAATTCTTTCAATAGTGTTAATTATAAGAGTTATGTTTAAAATATGCTATAGCAAATAAAATTAAAAGAAGAAGTTAGAAATCAAAGCTCAAATTTATATGATTCAAAATATACTTGGATTTCCAAAATATCTCCATAGCCAAGACGTAAATAATGTGTTCCTTAAAATTTCAGACTTGAAACTTTAAGAAATACATAAAGAGATATAATCAAGAAGAAATCATATGATGAGGATAAAAATTATAAACAATAATTTAGTTTAAATTCAAATACTAGATTTACTACCATTCCAAATCGGTTAGACTCAAAATAAACAATTATAGTATCACCTATCCTGATCAAAGATACTGTTCCTGTTAAAGAATAGTTAATATTAGGAGATTAATCACGTCTCTTTGATTTTAATAACTTTAGTAAATTTTCTAGTTGGTCTAGAAAATCATCAAAAAGCATATTATGATCATTTTTCAATTCATTTTTAAACAAAAAATTTAAATAACATTTAATTTAATGATTAATTAAATAACTATGATTAATAGAGATTAATATTTTATTGAAATTGAATTGCCTACTAATATTTAAAGATATTTGCAAAAATTATTATAGGATTGTATTATTATATAAGTTTTATTTGAAAATAAGAATTAAATAAAATAAGCCATCAATTGTAATATTTGATAATATATTCAATAATAAAGAAAATAGAAGTGTAGGATTTAAATTGAATAAAGAATCAAAACTTTAAGATTTATCTAATTTTATACCTATTCTATTATGTTAAAATAAAGGAGTAGATCTTAAATAAGAAATTTTAAAGTAAACTTAGAAAATTTATATAATTAGAGATTGGACAAATAATTCTAAATGTTTATTTTTTATTTTATTTTATTTTCTAATGTTATTTAAAAAATAATTAATATTTAGTGATTGGTAGCAAAAATAAATTAATTTTTAGAAAGAATTAAACAATGGAAAATAAGATTAAACAATAGATTGCTACATCATTTAGAAAATGCTAATTTAAATTGTTTTATTGTATGTAAATATTCTACTGTATGTAATTAATCATTTTGGTACATCCTTCTTTCTTTATCTTCTTTATTCGACTTATTTCTTTCTTTCTTCTTCAATTAAGTCCTTTCTTCCTGCATGCCAATTTGGTCCTTTTTTCCTTTATTATGGTCCTGTTGTGGTTGTTTAACCTCCAAATCTAAATTATATAAAGAGTGAAAACCTTCTGTTGAAGCAGATTCTTTTATAGGCTCTTCCTTTTGGGATTTTGTGTCTTCTGACTTATTTTTCAATCTTTGGTGTTTGCTTTCTAACTTTACCAGCTTTTGCTAAGGTCCCGTGAAGTTTTCCCATAATAAATTTTTTTTAATAAAAAGATTTAAATTTATTTGATTAATCAATCAGGGCTAACATTTTGTATTTTTATAGGATTTAAAGACTTAAAAATTTAGGAGATGTTTATGATAATATATATTTTATAATGAGAAACAATGGAAGATTAGAGTTAAAGAGACTTAATAAGAGTATTAATAAATTAAATGATTATTGATAAATTATTATATTTTATTAATAGTGATATTAAAAATAGTCTATATTCTTATAAGAGATTTATGATATTTAATCTAATGATATCAATTAATTGATATAAAATGATATTTGTTGAGAAATAATTTAATAAATAATGAATAAACATAATATTTAAAATATTTATATTAATGATTTATGAAGGAATTACATCCATCGTACACAGTGGTATAAGATGTTGCTATTTAAGAATTCTATATAAAAAGTGGAAATGGACCATCTATTTAAAGGAACATTTTTGAAAATGTTGATTATGACATATATGAGAAATAATTAATTGATGAAATTAAAACTAAAATGAAAGAAAAAGGTTTACAAATAAAATTAAAAAGAAGTATATTATTGAAAATGTTAATGGCTGCCTAATATAATATTGAAAAAGCAATTATTGTATGTCATTTTTTATACTAAAAGTACTTTAGAATTGCTAGTCTCATTTAAATTTTCTATAAGAATACTCAAAGCAAGATTATGTTAATGAATTAAGAAAAGGGCATCTATATGTTTGTGGATTTGACAATTAATTTCGCCCTGTTATTGTAATTAGATAATATTGTGATATAAAAATAATTGCTTACTTTTTAGAAACTGTTAAAAGATAGTTATTAATTGATTATTATGTTGAAAATTGGACAGTGATCCTAGATTTAGATACTGATTTGCCAATAATAGAATTAGATGATTTATTATATTTGTAATTGCATTTTTATGGGAACTTAAATAAGATTTTAATAGTTAATGGACCAGATGATATAGATGATATTGTCAAATAGTTCATTGGTATTTATAATATAGATTAAAATTATAGAAAAAATAAAAGATTTATAGGTTAAAATAAAAATTATATCAGAATATTAATAAATATTATAATATATTCCAAAAGAATAATTAGAAATCAAATATGGGGGTGATTTTAATAATGTTGAATTATTTTGGTAAAATGATAAATTTATTATAGGCCAATTTTGAAAAGAGAGACTCATACTGGAACAAATAAATTATTAAAGAAGAACTCTCATTTGTCAATAAATTCTATGGGAAGTTCAATCAACAAAAAACCAAGCTTTATGAAGATTACAGTATTAGAGGAAAATGGAAATCCTTTATTGAATCAGTAAGTTGAAGTATTTGAAGATTAGATAGAATCATAATAAGGAGAACAATAATCATAATAGAATAATTTTTAATAGTAATAATAATAATAATAATAATAATAATAATAATAATAATAAGAAGATTGTGAAGAGAAATCTAAATCATATCAAAGCTCGACAACAAAAAAATAAGATCAATAATTTATATAAATTGATGATGATGAAGATGATTTAATTGAAATGGAAAGTGAAAATATGGAAAAACGAAATGGCAAAAAATAAATTACTAAAAAATATGGTGAAGCAACTAAAACTACTACTTATTCCTAAAAATAAACAATTTTAGAAGGTGAAAAAGAAATACCATCTTCATTTTCTTGTTGTTCTAGATCTTGTTCAATATTTTGAATTTAGACAATAATGAATTGAGCATAATTTTAACTATTTTATGTTTTTAAATTATATATATATATAAATATCATAAATCTTCATGAATCATTTAATTATGCCTTTCTTTAATAATATTGGCTATATTTTTGGCTTATATCATCATAAATTCCATACATGAGGCTAAACTTTCAATTGAATTCAAGTAAAAGAAATTCTTATTATAAATTAAATATAAATACCTTTTCATATTCAAATTCTGTATTTAATAGACTTTAACTTAATTATGGATAAGCTGCATCCCATACTTTTTTATGAATAATTTAATGTGTTTCAAATATTTAGTCTAATTTTAATTCTGATCTTCCTTGAACTTTATAAATGTTCCATCCTGAAAAACATTTTAAACATTCTTATTTCAATTCAGTGACTTCACCATCATCAAGAATTACTATTGTATTTAAATCTTCAGGATTCACACCAATATATTTTTGAGAAATCTTACCTGCAACAATATATACATATGTGCTTTAGTATTTTACATATTAAAATTAATTCATTTCTCTAATATTATCAAAAGATATGTCTAAATTAACTAAAGATGCTACAACAACATAATCATATTAATCATTAAATATTTTATATTTTCCATTCTTTAATCGATGTATAATGTCAACTTTAGAATGAATGACATTAATTTTTTCTTCATCTATTAATTATCTATTTCCTCCTTTAATTGAATATGCATCATTGAAAGCAGCAACCATAGAGATTAATCCTGCAATTGTATTTACATCCTTTTAGTTATATATTGCTAATAAAATTGCATCTACAAATTCTTCTTAAAATTATTAATCAATCTCATTCTCATTCAAAAATTCTGTAAAATTCATTTTAATATCATTTAATTTTATGATCTATAAAAATTCATTGAAATTTTTATAATATTAACCACTTTCTAAAAAAGTATAGATTGACTTAAAATTAATTAAAACTTCATCAGTAATATCTTTTATTCTTTTTGGTGAGAGTCCATATTTATAAACCATCTTTACAATATTAATTACATCTAAATCTGTCTTTTATAAGACTATTTATTTGTTTTTAATGACTGCTAATTTCCCTAGATCTCTCTTGTAAATTTGTAAATTTCTTTTTTCAATTTATTTTTATACATATTCATTCTATTTAATAAAGAATGTAGCTCCAAATTCAACTGCATTCAATCCAGGTATTAATACATGATTTATTCTTCCTCCACATTAATAATATGATTCATAAACAGTTGCACTTGGTATCAATTAAGCTAATGTTGCTCCTCCAATACCACATCCTATTATAGCTACTTTTTATGCTTAAATTAATATTGAAAGCAAATTTAATATAAAAATCATTATAATCAAAAACTTAACTAAAAATAATAAAACAACTTTAGAATATGTAATATATGAATACTAACTAATTTTTATGATGATATTTGATATTTAATATATATTGTATTTTTCTTTGAAATTAAATCAGCTCTTTATTAATTATAATAATTTTATGGAGCATAAAAAACTATTAGAAAATGTAATGATTGATTTGCTCAAGGATCCAACTTGTCCAATATATTAAGTAAAACTATTTTATATTATAATTCATAGTATTAAGATTGGCAATTAATAAACATATGCCAATAACTCTAATTATAAAATTTCAGTAATATAAAAGAAGAGGATTTTCAAAGAAAGTTTGCTTAGTTCTTTATAAATTATTTGGAAGTGGAAAATGAAATTGAAAATATTTTAGAATAATCTTCAATAAAAAGAAGTAATTTGAAGAAAAATAATGAAGTTCGTTCTCATTAAAACAATTAAAGTTAATAAAGTAAAAGTTTAATTAAATCAAATTAAGAGTCAAATAAGGAGAAAAAGGATTAAATAGACACACTTAAGAATAAGAAAAAAGTAAAATTAAAGTCATCAAATCAATCTGATTTATTAGATATTGAAGTAAATCCATGTACTAACAATTCAGCAAACTTAGATTTGATAGTACCTTAAGATAAAAAGTTATCTCAATATAATTTTGATCCTCTTAATGATATTAATAATGATAAAAATAAATGCAAAGAAAAAACATAAAAAATCACATCAAATGAATAGGTTTAGATGGAATCTATTATTGAAATAAACAATAATAATTAAAATTAAGAATAGAATTCAAAATAAAAAAATAAAAGTACAAAAGAGATTAACAATTAAATCTAGTCTAATTCAATATTTAAATCAAATGATAAATCAAATGATAAGAATGAAACTTAAAATTAATTGTAAATTGAATAATAAAATGAAGAAAGAGAAAATAATAGGTAAAATGATAATAATAAAATTAATGAATAAAACTCTAGAATAAATAAATAAATTTAAATTTAAAAAAAACCTTCAAGAGCTATTATTGATACTTCTCCAGAAGAAGGTGAAATATTTTTATAACTTTCAGATTCTGAATCATAAAAATAAAGAAATATTTAGGATTTAAAAAATTAATAAGGAAAATATTTAATGGATGATTAAATTAAAAAAAATAAAGCATTAAAAAATAATAATAATTATAGATAAAAAGTATTCAATCAAAAGTAAAATATATAAAATATAAGTTTCAATTAAGTAAAATAGATTGAAAAACATAGTAATCCTCGTTTATAAACTGAAATTTCATTAAATTAAAATTAACTCTAACCTATTGGTGGAATTGAATTTCAGATTCAAAAACAAAAATAATTATTAGAAAATTAATATAGCATTATCTAATCTTAACCTGCTTACTAAAAATCAGATAATTATTAAATGAATTTAGAAAGAAATAATTTAAATAGTTCTTTAACTAATACAAGTAATAGTATAATATAATAAAAAAATTCATTATGTGATATTCAAAATGTTGATTCGGCACCCATTTTGAATCCTTCATTTGACATTTCTAAAGAATCTATTGTTTAAAATCTATAAAACAAAAAAAATGATTATTTAGGTGTAAATCTAGAAAAGAATAATTAATATATCCATTCAAATAATTAATATTGGAAGTAAAATAATTAATTCCCATATTAATTACAAAGTTAAATGCAAAATAATTAATAAATATCAAATTAAATGTATTTTTAATCAAATATCTATCCTTAATCTGTACAATATAACAATCGAATTTTTGAAAGTGGATAGAATTTAGAACTCTAAAAAGAAAAAAAGCCTAAGATAGAGGTTTTAGATATTAATAATAATAATATTGGAAATGGTTATTTCACAACATAAAATAAGACTCATTAAATAAAAATTAATGGAAATTAATGTAATTATTGTAAATAAATGGATGGGAATGTTAAATTAGTAAATATTGAAGATGAAGTTAAAATTTGTTCATCTTGTTTATTAGAGTAATTGAATCCATTTAAAAAAATTATGTATACTTTAGGATTTCTAGAATATTAATATTAATAAAAGTCATAATGTAAAATACATTTAGATTTCACAATCACAAAAGAATAACTTCTAACTCCTGGAATTTAATTTGAAATTAGATGTGTTATGATGAATTAAAATGGATTAACAGATTTTACATTCCCTAATAGTTGTATACTTTTTATTAATGGAGTTCTAGTTAAAGAGTTTAAACCTCTTCTTGATAAATCATGTTTAAAAAAAAGAAAAGATAATTCTATTTTAATAAATATTGATTATCTGTAAAAAATATATGGAATATAAAAAAAGTATAATTTCACATGTGTGGAAATTATTCCTGATTCATAAATGAGGTAAGAGATTCCTAAATAAATATATATATTTGGATTGTATTTAGTTCAAAATTAAAGTTTGGATTAAGTAATTCATTCCATAGTTAATCAAAGTATCTTGTCTTAAATTAAAGTTGATTTTTGTAAAAATGAAATCAAAGTAGATAAATCTAAAGTAAGTCTTATTTGTTAATATTCATTTGATTTAATTAAAATTCCTGCAAGGTATAATGTAATTTATAATTTAGAGGAGAATTTTGTTAACATTAATAATGTTTTAGTCTAAATAATTTTTTGGATATGATGATTCATGCAGAACATATGAAATGGATTTGTCCAATTTGCAAGAAAAATTGTACTAGTTTGAGAATTGATCAATATTAATGGGATATTTTAAAGAAGATTTAATAGCTAAATATAAAAGTTGATTATATTACTGTTGATTAATATGTAAAGAAATATATTGAAGTATTAAGGGTAGTTTAGATTGTAAAGATCCTTTATATGCAATTATTTAAAATAATAAAATTAACAGTTATACTCATTTTGAAAGAAGCTTTCCTTAATTCGACAACAATAATGAAATTGTTTCTTAAAACAAATTTCAACCTTAAGGTATAAATGAAATAAATGCTATTCTAATTGATTGATAAATTATTCTTAATTGTATAATATTATATATATATATATACAATATCTTATTATATATTATAATTTATATATTCAATTAAAACTAATTTGATATTTATTATATATTGTCATTTCAAAAATAAATTTACTTCGAAATGACGTTCTAAAATTATTTATATATCTACTAAGAAATTTAAATTATAATTAATTATAAAATTAAAGTTTTAACTAAGAAATGAGCATAGAGACAATACCCAAATATCAGGCCTTTAATATGTCTAATGATTATAGGGCACCTATTACATGTCCTTATGGTTGTACAATAAAGTTAGTTGAAGAATAATTATTGTTGCATGTAACAAAATGTTGGAGGTAAGATGACTCACTTTTTGGTCATTGCAAATATAATTATCTCCATATTTATCCATATTCATAGTTGCCTTTTCATGAATAAAATTGTACAAGCAATATTCCAATGACAGAAGATGATTTTGCTTATAAACCAGATCCAAAATATAATAATGTAAATTTAGATTGGATTTAAGATGAATTGTCATTGAAATATGCAAAATATTTTGTATTTCCCATTTATTTATCAAAAAGGTACCAATTTAAGACTAAGTTACTTAATCTAATTAGGAAATGAATAACTAAAGTTAATCAAAATCTTAAGATTAAGATAAATAATCTCAAGAATAAGATCAATAATAGTATGTTATTGTTTCTGATGGGGAAACTGAAAAAGAATTAAAAGAGAATGATACTAAAACTGAAAATCCAAAAAATTTGAATTTCACTGAATTTTAGTTGCAAAATTAAAAATTAAAGGATTAAAATAAAAAAGTGAATTAGATAATAAATGGAAAAGAAAATTAAAAAAAACCTTAAAATGATCATATGGATAATTAAGAAAATGAAAAATCTATTTCAAAATACATATAATCATTATTTAAGAAGATGAGAAAGATTTGGTGAAAACATTTTTTTGTATAATAAATAAATTTTATTATATATATATATTTTATTAAAATATATTCTTAATGATTATATTCTCAATATAATATTTAATAGATATTTGAGCATTATTATTATATGAATAAAAATATAATTGAATATAGTAATTTTATGTCAAAAATAATTTAATATATAAAATTGTTCATTTTTCATATAATTAACATACTATTAAGTAAATAAGATCTCTTTTATTATATTTAAAATAGATAAGTTCTTTATGATAAAATTAAAAGGATGATTTAACTTTTATGCGGGTTAACTGTTAAAAGATTTATAAAAATAAAGTATATAGAAAAATCAAGAAATTAACGATAAAACACTAAAAACGAAGAAAATCTAAATTCTTTCATAATAGTTTGAATTTAAATAAGAAATTATATAAATGATATGGAGATTATTAGATGTTTTATATATTATTTAATCAAAAATATATTATTTAATGTGATCAAATATAAAGTATTTGTAGAATTCTATAATACTCAATTAAATTTATTGGCCACATTGAATATTAATATTAATATTTCATATTAATTGATACGCATTTACAAGTTTATAACAATTATTTACACGATTTTGTTATTCCAAATTAAATATGTGTGGAATTTTGGCAATTTTCAACATAAAAGGTACTTATATAGAAGTACGAACTCTTGCTTACGATTTATCAAAGAGATAAAGACATAGAGGTCCTGATAGATCTCGTATCATAATAATAGTAAATTTCGATTGTTATTTTACTAAGGAAGCTGGTCCAAATACTTATCATATACTAGCACATGAAAGATTGAACATTGTAGATTTAAGTGATAGAGGAAGACAACCCTTTTAATTAGTTGATGATTAAAATATCTATTATATGCAAAATGGTGAACTTTACAATTATTGGTCAATCAAACCAGAATTTGAAAAGAAATATAAATTTAGTAGCAATTCTGATTCAGAAATAGTAGGAATGCTATATAAAGAAGTAAAAGATTTGGTTATAATAAAAGTATGGTCCAAATGATTTTTGGAATCATATGGATGGAATGCATTCTACAATTCTTTTGGATATGAATAATAAGACTTATTATGCAGGAAGAGATCATATTGGAATTATTCCTTTGTATTATGGATATAATAAAGATGGTGCCTTATTTTTATCATCAGAATTAAAGGGAATTCATGATTAAGTAGTTGAAGTAAGATAATTCCCTCCAGGTTAGAATTTATTATTAAAAAATAAAAGGTCATTACATAGATCAAACTCATGAAATAAAGAAATGGTATAATCCACTTTGGCATAATTTTGATCACATTCCAACTGAAGAAATCAATTTTTAAGAAATGAGAGATAAATTTATTGATGTTGTTAGAAGAGAAGTTAAAGGAGATGCACCATTTGGTTTATTTATTTCTGGAGGGTAATTATATCTTATATCATAATGTTAGTGTTGATTCATCTATTGTTGCTGGTATTGTTGCAAAATTGATAAAAAATGGAGAAATTGATTTAAGTAAAAGAGGAATGAGAAAAGTTCATTCATTTTGTATTGGTTTGGAAGGATCACCAGACTTACATTTTGCTAGAAAAGTAGCTGAATATCATGGATTTGAACATCATTCATTTACATATACAGTTGAAGAAGGTTTAGATTATATTCCAGAAGTAATATATCATACAGAGACTTTTAATAATACTACAATTAGAGCATCAACACCTATGTATATGATGTGTAGAAGAATTAAGGCTTTGGGAATTAAAATATGTTTAACTGGGGAAGGAAGTGATGAATTATTTGGAGGTTATTTATATTTCCATAAAGCTCCAAATAGAGTTGAATTTCATTAAGAATTAATAAGAAAATTAAATGATTTACATAAATATGATCTATTAAGAGCAAATAAAGCTTGTTTAGCATGGGGTATTGAAACTAGACCACCATTTATGAATAAATCATGGATTGAATATGTTATGTCTATTGATCCAAAATATAAAATGATCAACGCCTTCCAACCATAAATTGAAAAATATATATTAAGAAAAGCCTTTGAAGATTTAGAAAATCCATTTGTTCCATAAGAAATATTATGGAGATAAAAGGAATAATTCAGTGATGGAGTAGGTTACAGTTGGAGAGATGGTATTATCGAAAGAGCCAATTAATTAATATCAGATTAATAATTCTCTTAAGCTTCAACTACATATCCCTTATCAACCCCAAGAGATAAGGAATAATATTGGTTTAGATAAGTTTATTCTACTGCCTTTCCAAGTGATAGTGCTGCTTTAACAGTGCCATATGGCAAGTCAATTGCATGTTCAACTGAAAAAGTATTTAGACATAATATATCTTTTAGGCTTTAGAATGGGATGAGGCTTTCAAGAAAAATACTGATGAATCAGGAAGAGCAGTTTTATCAATACATAATGATGCATTAAAAGAAATATTATAAGAGGAAGATAAAATTACAGATGAAAGCATTAAAGTATAGGATCACTTTTAACTGTGATATATAAAAAATTAGTACATTAAATAGTTTGCTAAATTATTAATTTTAATTCTTAAATTATTAATAATTAATTAACGATTATTTTATTAAAATTAAAAAAAAAAAGGGAGCATCAGGGTTCGCACCTGAGACCTACAGATCTGCAGTCTGCTGCTCTGCTACTGAGCTATACTCCCTAATTGACTATTATCTTATGTTATTCTATAGATATGGTAATTATTTCTCTGTTGTTTTTATATTATCAATAATTATTATTAAATAACTTTAATATAATAAAAATTAAAATATTGAAAATATTAATTAATGAGTTTAACAAGTCGATTTCTATATCAAAGAAACAAATAATCAATTCAATAATAAAAATATTAATATAGAAATCCCTTAAATGATAATTTTAATGATTTTAGCAAATTGTATGTTAATAAAATTATCCATTAATTACCTCCTATTAATGAAGATAAAAGACATTAATCGCATTCATTTCGATATGATTCTTAAATTAATTAAATTTTCAATTAAAATTAACATATGTAAGACAATATCAAACCAAAATAAAAGTTAAAACCTAAAATTTCACATAACACTGAGTAAGAAGTAGGACTATCTTTATTCATTAGAAGAGTAGCAATATAAGATTTGAAAATCATGGGATAAAGAAATTAATCAAATAGATCAGGACTAATCAATGGAAAATCTGATAAACCTCTTACATTAGATAATCAATCTAATCAATTATATAATAAAAAATTAAAAAGTACAAAAAAATATTTTGAAGAACCTCCATAAATTACAGAAATTACAGAACCATTTATTTGTGGTTGGTTATAATTAAATAATGAAGAAATTTGATTGATTAATAATACATTAATTCTCATTTCAATAGATTTTAAGTTTCTTTATATCTATTAAGTTATTATTATTTATGCCAAATAAGAAGAAATACATAGATAAGCAAAAGTCATTAATAAATGATAGGTCAAATAAAAATTAAAAATTTAGTTTTAAGTCTATTTATTTTTAAATAATAATATTTTCTCTTTGAGATTATTAAATGAATATTTAGATCATTTGAATTGTAAATCATTTACTTCCTGGTTAAATTTAAATTTAAAGTAATAAAAAAATGAATAAATATCCTTATTAAATAGAGATCTTAAAATTCCTTTATTTTAAATTCCATTAAAAATGCATTTAAACTGACATATCGACTGAAAATAGCAGGATTAATTAATTAATATATCAGTATCAAATTAATATTAATCTTCAAAAAATATTAAAAAAATATAAACAATCTTTCTATTAATAATAAAATCTAATCTAAATAAATGATTCTAACATAGGTATTTTTGATTCTTTTTCTACATTCTAGTTTCAACTTAACAAATAAAATTATAGATTTATATTATTATTAATATATATCAGTATTGTAATAAAAATTAATTAAATTTAGATATTAAATCTAATTAATCTTTATATTATTAAAAAAAGGAATTACTTTGAAGTATATATAAATTATAAGTTTGTTCATAATTAAACTAATATATATATTAAAATGATAATAACAAGAAAAGTAAATTATTACTTTGAAGTTTAAATTATAATATCATTAATTAAGCATCTTTTCTAGTTCACCAACCTTTTTTTCTAGTAAATTCATATGTGATGTCTATTCCAATCTTTATTCTATAAATTTGATTTATTCTTAATTTAAAAATTAAACTAGAGGTTTCCAATTGATATTTTATCTTCTCACAATAGGAACGAATTGCTCAACAGTTTTATCAAAGTCTATTTTTAGTAATTCAACTATTTAAATAAATTGTGTGTCTCTTGATCTTCTATATTTAGCTAAATCTACTATTAAATGATTATTATTTTTTTCTTAAACATCTTATATCCATGATCTTAAAATTGAAGTTTCATTTGTGTTTTACATGATATATTAATAAACTTTAATACCATCATTATAATTAAAGAAAAATACTACTGTAGTTTTGAGAGCATTCAATATACAATTTTGATATTGGGTGTATTCAAGGTTAATTTAAGGCTTTTGTGATTTGATTAAATATTAATTAATTTTTTCTAAAATTGCCTAGACTTATGACCATTAAAATTATCCCTTTAATTAATCAGCGGATTTACTTAAACATTTAGTTACTAATACATAAAATTATTTAGTTTATGTATCTGATTCTTTTACTTTTATTAATATATCAAGAAAAGCTAAATATAAATTAGATAAATCTTGATTATTTAAGATTTTGATTAAATTTGAATTAATTAAATTGTAACAACATTTTTATGCTCCATCTTTGACATTATTTTTAGTTGATTATTCTACCATTTTAAAAATCAGTGTATCAAAAATGAAATAAAATTATTGATATGAAATGCTTTTATAAAAATGATTAGATGATAAGATATGAATCAATTTCTCTAAGAATTCATTCATTTTATCATAGCATTCATCATTTAAAAGAGAACCTAAAAGATATATTATTTATTCTGCAAAACTTTAAGAGTTCTCAATACAATTAGTTTCTCTAAATTTAAGATACATTTAATTAAAGCTTCTCAAAATCATATCATGTTCTTTTTCTTTGACATTTAAAATTTAAGAAGAACTAATATTTTTATTCCCACTATTAATATTCTAATTTAATTGTAAATTAACATTTTTTTATTATAATAATTTCTTTTATGAATAACTTGGTAAAGTAATAATTTTATCAGATAGTTACTCTTAAACAAGTTTTTAATTACTTTAAATTTATTCTTATTTGTTTTAAAAATCAATATTAGAATTTATGATACCTTCTACTCTAATAGAAGGCTTTCTCTATTCTAAAATTTTTTCTTTTAAAATATCATCTTTATTAATTAATAACATTAAATTAACTAATATTGATTTTTACTATAATTAAGAATTACAATTCCATTCAGGAATTTTGTCTTACATTTATTTCATTATTTAATTAGCTTAAGAATTAGAAACATCATCAAATTCATCAAATTAACCTAATTATAATATCTAAATAGTTTATAAATGTTATTCTGCTAATAAATTCATAAGTAATGGCAAAGTTCTTTATGCTAATTTTGGCATTCCATTTCTTATATATAATAATATCATCATTTTAATATAATACTATACAATTTATTATTCTAATTATGTGAGTTTATGCTAAGAAGTCAGAAATTAAAATAACATAATTATTTCTGTTTGTAAAGGTATGTTTTCTTTAAACCATGAAATTAAATAACCCCATTTAAAAAATATTTCTGTGAATTCTGCTGGTTATGCTATTTTTTATCTAATATAAGATGCAGCAGCTAAATTTTATGATGTATTGTAACTAAACAATTTATCATACAAATTTTAAGGAATTTATGGTACTTTTAATTGTTCTTTCAATCTTTCAATATATAGATCACTAAATTATGTTAATGAAAATGGAATTACTGGTTTAGTTTCTGATGGAATCTTTTTAATTTCAAATAATAATTTTAATGCATTCTAACAATCAATTACAAGTTGTCTTGCCTTTTAATTTGATTGATTTTAATAGAGTTTTAAAAATTCAGAAATTAACTATTAATCAATTGTTTTATCACTTAAAGGGATGTATTTAAGTAATAAAGTCAAAACTTCAATTAATTATACTTAAGTAGGAGCATTCTTAAAGCTTGTTATAAGTTGAGATAAATGATTTGGCTTATATGATTAGAAACATTTTTCAAATAATTAATAACAAAGTTATTTTTAATCGCCTAATTTATCTACTATATAATCCATAGTGAATATTAAAATTTACTTAGATTATTAATTAATATTTAATAAAATATTTCCAAGTTCATTTATATCTTTATTTTTAGTTTTATATTATTTTAGAAATACTTCAACTTAGCTAGTAGTCATAGTGGATTAATATTTTAAATCTTGGCTTTCTTAGTTAATTTACTAACAAACAATAGGTTGAGGTTTATTTTAAATAATAGTAGTTTCTGGTTTAGTTTTAATAATTGGTTAATTTTATATATTTTCCTTATTTTATTATAAAGTTGATTTTTATGGTTATTAGATTTCTGTACAATTGCCTTATAATGCTTTTATTTCTTCAAGATAATTATTAACTTGAGCTTGATACTTTGTTAATTTATCTCCTTTTAAATCTACTGCCATTGAACCATTATATAATTAAACAGATACTTTAGCTAATAACATAATAGCTTTATTTCTGACATCAGCATTTCCATCATCACTTAATTTCTTACAAATTGGTACTAATTACTTTATACATTGTAGTTTAATTAATTTTTCTTTTACAATTTCATCTAAACAATATTCAACAAGTAAAAAAGCATTAATTTTAGGACTTGATGCTTTATCATCTAATAAAGTTTTAACTTCTTCAAATAATTCATCAAGTGTACAACAATAGAAGAATTTCTTTAATGATTATATTGTATCATCAACTATACATTATTTTTTATCTTTAAGTCTTGCAAATAATGGTTATATTAATATTTTAACATATTATCCAAAATTCTTTCTTAATCCATTAGCTAAAAGTCCAGCTATTTTTATACTCATTGTACATATAGCTATATTTTATTCATTAATTAATTTCTTTAATAATTAAACTACTGAATAAACATTTGGAGATGGTATCATTTTTGTAACTGAACATGCTTTTTATAAATTTTCTAATTGTTCCTTTTTTTCTTACCATTTTTCAAGTTAAAACACCTTTTCACACCAAGAATCTGTGAATTTATGGAATACTTCAACTGCTTCTGCTAAATCATATAATTATTGATTTCCTGTTTCAAAATCTCCATCTTGATTTGGTGCTTTTTATACTTCTGTTATAGTTTCTGCTTATTTTTTTAATTCTTATTAAAGTTTCTCATTCAATCCACCAAAAAATGCTTCAATGTTTTTTCCAAACCATTTTGTTACTTCTTTATAAAATGATATTGCATCAACCTTTATTGTAGTTTATTATGCTTCTGTTAATTTTGATAAAATGGGAAAAAATGGTTTTAAATTATCTAATTTCTTTACACCATATTATTGAAGTAATTCCAATAATAAACTGATAGTTGCTTAAACTATCTTTGGATTTTTATGATTTAATTCTGCTATTATAATTTCAAAAATTGCCTTTTTAAATTATGGAAATAGTATAATGGCCAATTAATATCCATTTTGCTTTAATTTTTATTATATTAACACTTTCTCTATTAACACTTTTATTATCTCCTTTTATTATGAAGACTCTAGTTAATGATTTTATTCAAAATATTTTAGTGCTATTTAAAGAGCCTTCTCTTAACATTAAACATGTATATCTTGCATTATTTATAAAATGCACTCATATTCAATTTCTTACTCATTTATTAATTCTTCATAAGCTTGAAGTCTAACTTTCCAAACTTTTGATTTTATTCTTTGTTTTAATGGTAAATCAACTTTATCAAATTATTATTGATCAAAATCTAATTTATTAAATTTAAATAACCTGGAGGAAACTCTTCGACCATAAAATTTTGCTTCTATTATCCAACCGGCAATTCATCAATATACATTTTATTTTAATTTAATTTAAAATAAATTTTAATTTTTTAAAGTATTTATTTGTTAAAATTTAATTTTAATTTTCAATTTCCTTAATATCTATATGAGTGTTTAATAAAATATATTATTATACTTTAAGATATTATTACTATAATTTAATAGTTTTAACTTCTTATAAATTATTTTTAATTATATATTCTAGTAAAAAATAAGTATTTAGATTTATTTTTTTTTTAAAGAAGTAATTAACAGAATAGAATTCATATATTAAGTTTAACATATTGTTAGATAATATTTCAAAATATTTATTAATAGTTCCTTATATAACAAATTTATTTTATTATTTAAGACTGCATTGATTTTAAGAGCTTGAATTTCAGAGAACATAGTATTGAAATAATAAAACATAAGATTATATAGTATAATTGTTAATGTATAATAATATTCTATAATTTGTTAGAAATGAAGAATTTATTAATAATTCCTCTTTTTTCGAAATCTATTTTTAGAAGACATGTAGCTATATATCAATCTGCTATTATGAGTATTTTCTCTTTCTAGATAGAATTAGATGTTAATATATCTTTTTAATAAATTACTATAAAGAGTAAAGAATTTATCGTTGAGACTTTTAATTTGATTAATATTTTTATTATATATCTAACTGCTAATTTCATGAATGACTCTTTGAGATCTTTGTCAACCAATGATTCTTTAGAAGGGCAAACTAGAAAAAAAAAGAAAAGCAATGCTACATCTAAAAAGACTTCTCGTCCTCAAAATATTAGTTATACTGAAGTTGTTGATTTACTTAATCCATCAAATTTGTTCATTAACAAAAATTTAGAAGAAGAATTTAATGCTATTGAATTGTATGACTTTCTTTATTATAATAGAATTCCTGAGACTTCTTATTTTCCCCACTTTAAATTTATTTTAGATGAGAATTTAACTTGTACGGAAACAAAATGGAGACGTTTACCTACATTTATTAAATTAACATCATGATATTGATTGTATAATTTTTGTCATCTGCTAGTTTTAAATTATTTATATTAATATTCTAAATCACAAAATTGTAATTATTTCAACCTTCTTTTATGATAATTAAACTACATCTATAAAAAATATAAATAATTAAATTTTTAAGTATATTGTTAAATTCTTAAACTTAAGATATCTTTAAAATTATTTTTTGATTCATATAGATATATAAATAAATATTTAGAAATAATTCAATATAAATTATTAATCAGTATAAATAAATCTTAAATCAATTTAATTGAAAAGATATTATACGACGTTTATTTATTTATTTATCTGAGCCTTAAGCTTATGGAATGTTTGGTAATTATTTCTGCTTTTTATGAAATATTATTGAAAATTAACTAAATTCTGTATTTAAAGATGATTAACCTTCATCCTACTAAAAATATTATTGATACCAAACTCTTAAATTTTTTAATAATTGATATTTTTCATCAAGAAATTAAAAATGTTGTTTACAATCAATTATTAATTAAACAAATATTATTAACGACAAAAATCCAATAATGATCCAACCAATATTTGTCATTTGAGAATAATTAAAAATATTACTTTATTCATTGAAACCAAATGATAATATTAAAATTTCAGATAACCATAAAATAAGTTCACTTATAATTTATTTAATAAGTTCATTTTGATCTTCTAATGATCGATTAAGTAATAAATATAATACTTATGTTAAACTTAATAGAGATACTAGACTAATCTATAAACAAGGAGTATTATAAAGAAATACTAATAATGCTATGAATAGAGCCTTTTTAATAACAATAAATAAATTAAAATAATAATTAAAACGATTTCTTTCTAATTTTAATCCTTCAAAAAGTGATCCATAATTTTATTATGTCTATTGTAATTTATATGTTATTTAATCCTTACTCATTAATAAAAAACAATTATAGATAAAAAATGTTTCTATAAAAAACATAATAATTGCAAAAATACTACTTAATCTGAGAATTGGATTTTAAAATTAAATATCCTTAAATTATAAAAATATTGCTATATTTAAATCATAGGCAGAAGCCATAAAAGTTCTTATAAGTGCACTTTTAAATTCATTAATAATTTTTAAGAAATATTTTTAACAATTATTAGCTAATTTATAAAATAGAAAAGTAAATATATTTATTTTTTCTCTTTCTATTAATATCATATTCTCTGTAAATTCTTTTGTTACTTTATGTATAAAATATAATATAACTCTTATGATAATAAAAGTAGCACTGGTAGTAAGAAAAACTATAAATACAGAAATTATATTAATAAGAAAAACAGTAGAATATCCTTCCAAATTAAATTTTGGATCAGCTTCTGGAGTATCTACATATTGAGTAATCAAGTATTCAAAATCAAAATAAGATTTAATAAAGTCAAATTCAGCAAATCCAAAAATAGTAAAATAGTATTAAAGATTATAAGGGTAAGTTATATTAAAATATTTTAGATAACAAATAAGTTACATTGTATCTAAAAGATTCCAAAATATATCCAAACCTCCAAAAATCATAGCTATGATTGCTAATCCTAATAATATATATAGGAAATATGAACTCATCTAAGCTAAATTTTGACTATTTTAAATTACAAATTGATTTTATTTGATGAAATCAATTAATTATATTGTTGCATTATTTGTTTTAAATGAATAACCCTATTAATTAGTAAAAAATGTAGAATTTAATATAGTAATTGTAATAAATGGAGGTTATGCAGATGAATCTAATTCTATATTAAAATCTAAAATGATATTAAAATAATCATTTTTCATAGATGAATAGTCATTAATACTTATGATAGTTAATTTAAGATTAGGAGTAGATGAAGTAACATTAAAAAAATCTGTAATTTTATTATTAACACTAATTTTAACTTCTTGATTTAATTTTAATTGAATAGTTCTTTTTGAATTATAAATACTATCAAATTTATATTCTTAAAGTAAAATTTGAATATAATTAATTTTTTGGCATTCAAGATTACAAACATAACCTTCTTCTACATTACAGTATTAATCACAACCATCTCCATTTAATTAATTACCATCATCACAATATTCCTAGTATGTTCGAATACCATCTCCACAAACACTAAAACATTAATTACCTATTTAGATGAATCCTTATTCTTAAGAACAATTTAAACATTATTCATTACTAAGAGTATTAAACTTACATTATGTACAATTATTCTATTATAATTCACATTTTAAACATTCATCAGAGCATTAAGAACATGCATAATCATTATTTAAATAATATCCATCTTTACATTAAAGACATTAGTTGTGTTAACAAATTAAACATATGTTATCAATGCAATTATTATTTTATAGAAAACATTGATTACATCCATCTCTTGGATCTAAATTACCATCATCACATTCTTCATTCCATTAGATGATTAGATCTCCACATTAAGAATAACAATAATGTGTAATTGGTGGATTAATTAAATTATTACATGATAAACATTCTAAATATCCATCATCAAAATATCCTTTTCTACATTTACATTCAAAAATATCAATATTATGAGCAGATTTCTACCTAGAATTTGGACAAACAGTACATTAAGATATTAAATTAGAATTGTTGCATTTGCTACAAGAATAATGACATGGTAAACAATTTAATTACTCATTATCATAATAACCTTATTAACATATGCATTAATTAGTATGTAAATCCAATATTCTATATTAAAAATCACTACATGATGTGCATGTAGAATAATCTGAACAAGTATTACAATAATCACTGCATTCTAAATTTATAATATAAAAATACTTAAACAAATATCTGTCTTATTATCTTCATAAAATCCATTTTCACATATACATGTATTTTCTTTTGATAATTACCTATATTATTCTGTATAACATTTAGTACAATATTCCTCTTTATATAAACATGATTTACAAATGGATATACATTTTATACAAGTTGTGTCATATCCATTTTCAAAATATCCTTATTTACATTAACATTAATAATTTTGGGGTATCCTATTTTATTCAGGAAAACATGTTATACATGTTATTGCATCTGAACATGTCTTACATGTTTAATTACATAATTAACAAGTGTTTGGATAATTTTATTAATCCATATAATATCCTAAGAAACATTCACATTTATTATTATTAAATACTTTATGTTCATTTCTATCACAAAAAGCACACAGTTAAGTTATTGATTAAAGTTAATTATTTTAAATTTTATTAAGCTTATTTTAGCATTTTGAACATGATGGATGACATTCATCATTTGTACAATCTGTTGAAAAAGCCTCAACCATATTCATTTAACAAATACACAAATTTCCATATTTAAAATATTAATCTTTGCAAGTAATACAATAATTTTCATTATTACAAGTTTTACAAGATGATTTACATTTTAAACAAACACCCTCAGAATAATAATAACCTTCACTTGGGCAATCATAAAATACTTGAAGATATGGATCTGATTATAAACATATAGAATCTGATTAACAAAACTTACAATTTTCAGGACAATTTGCTGAAAGAACAATTATATCATATATTGCACAATAACTGTTAATATTTTATTTAATATTACAAGTAAATAAGATCTCTAATTTTGTATCTGAATGATTAAATTCTTATTCAAAATTAATTAAATAATCAACATTTGTTTAACCAAGATCTTCTTAAATTATGCATCCTACAGTAGCTACACTACTAAAACAATATGAATTTGGTGAATTTTTGTTTAATATAAATTTAGTATCATCTATACTCACAATTAAACTCTATTGACTATCTACAGGATCTATTAATATGGCTTTAAAAAATAGTTTCAATTTATAATGTGGTTAAATTGATGAAATATCTAATTATATTTAAGTATTTTTCCAAGTCAATTCACCTCCTTAAAGATATCTTTTTTAATAAAATTAACAACTAGGTAAAATAGGTTTTTACAATTAATCACAAATATTGTTTATATTTAGATTTTATTTTAATGCAAATCTGTCTGTGTTTAAAATACTTAAAATTTTTGAAAATTTATAATCATCTATTATGCTAATACATTCATTTCCTTACGCTCTTGAAATTATTGGACATTCATCTACACATTCATTCTTAAATCTTTTTAATGGACAAGTAATTGGAGTTAATTCAATTGCATTTACTTTAATATAAGAAATAGCCCAAGCAGCATTCTTTATCTCTAATGGAATATTTAAATTAAATTAAATTTGTTAAAGATCTGAAATATTCTAAACATTTAATATAAAAGTAAATTTTAAACATGAATTAAATCCTATTATATTGCATTGTTTTTGATTTACTGCTCCTATAACTTAGGCTTAATTCAAATAATTATATAAAATTAAAGCTTATCCTATTAAATAATTATTAAACTTAATAAAAAAATGTAATGGTAAATTTTATGGCTAATTTAAAAGATAAATTTCAGTTTCCATTATAATATCATAAGCTTTTGTTATTGGAGTATAAATTTAATATTCTACAACTTCATTCTAAATAAATAGACCTGCTACTTTTTTACCTTCTAAAGTAATTTTACATTCTCTTTAAGTTGTATTATAATCAGGGTACATTATAAATTGAGATGCTGTATCATCATATAATAAATTTATTATTTGATTATATTGCAAACATGTAGTGCCATTAAAAATATAATTAACAGGACATTAAGTAACACATTATCCTTAGAAATAAGTAAGAAATTATGAATTACATACACATTTACCCGCAAAATTTAATATAAAATCAGGCATACATTCTGAACAAAATTTATCTTTATTACAAATTTTACAATATAACTAACATCTCTCTGCATAAATATTTAAATTCTTAATCTAAAATGTGTTTGCACTATTAGTTGAAACAAGTAGAGTTACTTATTATTCATTCATTTAAGTAGTTGAAGTGAATTTTATGTATTGAATTAAACTTGTAAAAGAACAGAAATTTGTAACATAAGAACGAAAAGAATTGTGTTGTAATTAATATATAGTTTGGCCACTTTCCACAAAAATTATATCACTTATTGATGTAATTGGAGTATGTAAATCAAATGTATAAAGTAAACTATTGTAACCATATGCAGTATTTATTTTGAATTACATTACTCTTGGTATACCAGTAGTTGTGGATTAATAAACTTTTGTTAGACTTTAGCAAGTTAAATTTTGAGCTGATGTTGTAGTGTCTAAATAATAAGTTAATTTTTCAAATGTCTCTTCTGAATAAACTCTATTCATTAATGATAATGTTATCAATATCACAATCATAGAATTACAAAAGAGTTCTATTTAAAATCTAATTTAATGAATCTAACCATGTTATTAAAGAAATATTTAAATATGTTTTAATTCTGATAATTTTTGGTTAAATATAATAGCATTAACGCATTTTATTACTAAATCTAGAATGGAATTTGATGTTTGTATTTATATATATTCTTATTTAAAATATGATTCTTTAATATTTCTATCCAATATTATAATACTAAATATAATATAATCAATTTTAATTAATTAAATAGCTGCCTAATGGTAAATAGATAGCCTATGATTGTTTATGATGAAAATGAAGATAATTATTGTAAAAATTGTAATCCTCAAAGATAATTTATTCAGAATTTTATTTTTTTATTTAGGCTAAAGCAATCAGTCCATTTAATTATCCCCTTACAATCTAATTAATTATTTATATTACTTTAACTATATTATGACTTTCATTATCATTTATATTTTCAATACAAATCTCTATTTCAACAATATCATCAATAAAATGTTCTTAGTTTTTTGATAACTAGTATATATAGTTAAATGACTTACAACTATTATTTAATTTTTATCATTTTTATTAAGTGAATGAAAATATGTTATAGGATGTATTCTATTATTGATTTCTTCAGATATTTATTAAGATTAGAGATCTGCAGGAGTAAAATAATTCAAGATATCATTATTGGCAATAATCATTTTAGATATTTCTAAATCACTTTTTTGAGGATATTAAATTCTTTTACTTGATCTTTTTGGTACTAGTATTTCTTCAACTTAATATTTTTCTTTTAATCTTTATGGTGCCTTTTAAATCTCAAATCTATATCCTGAACCATGTTTATCCATAAAATTTTAATCATATTATTTATCAATATAAGGAGATCGTTTCTTTTTATTATATGATAATTATTAAGATTCAAGATCATGTGATTATTCTAAATTATTACGTTACTTTTATTATTATTATGCAGATATATCATATTCAAATGCATTATCTAATTACGAATTTGTATTTGATTATTACATAATTTTACTTATTCTACTTTATCTCTTTTTCTAATTCTATGAAAAATATTGAAATTCATCTTATTAAACATATTCTTCATCTAATGTAATAGAATCTTTTGTCTCATTTTTACTTTTAGGTTTAAAATAATCTTCAATAGTCTTTTTTTATGAATTAACTATATCTGAAGATTATTAAAATTCAACTTTTATTATATCCTATTATTCAATACATTATTAATTCTTTTTTCTTTCATATTCTTACTATTTAGTTTCAATTAAATTATTATAATTATCTATATCATCTTCATTATCTAAATCATTTTCTAATTATTCTAAATCTTTTTTTAAAATCTATTTAGCCTAATCATGTGCCAAAAGTTCATCATAATTTAAAAATTACATTTCTTAATGTTCTTCTTATTATTATATTGGATTCTTTTATTCTAAATTTATCCATTCATTAATACACTATTAATTCATAGAAAATTGAGGAGTTTCATGAGATTTCTTACAACATTAATCAATATTTTAAATTGAATCATAATTGATTTATTCAAAATCTGAAATACTTATTTAATAATTCTTAATACTTTTATTATCATCAAGATGTTCTGTTAATTTATTTTCTTCTTAAAATTTCTACTAATAAATTGATGATTCTTAAATTTTGACATTTTCAAGTGAAGTCTAACTAATTGATTCTAATTCTAAATTTTAACAACTATCTTGAATATCATCATCATTATCTAAAATAATAGCATTATTCAATTGATCACCTTGTTATATATCTTATAAACCTAATTATTCCATTTATGCTATTAAAGAAATCTCAACTTAATTATTTGTTTAATCTATTTATGTAGAATTCTTTATTAAATCTTCTGTCTATGATTACTATTAAAATGAAATATCTGGTATTTAAAAATCATTTGGATTAGAATTATGATAAGTAATTTCTACAAAATCATTATTCAAATCAAGTGAACTATTATTTGGACCATAATTAGATACATCATCATTTGTTGCTGAATCAACTTAATCATATATTATTATTATATTTTATTCTAAAACCTAACTTCTTTCAATTATTGAATTATCAGATAATGTTGCTATATTAGATTTATCAAAACAAATTTCCTTAATATTATCATTAATCTCTTTCACTTCTTTATTTTAATTATCATTCTCTTGAAGATAATTATTATTATTTGTTTGATAATTATATTATTTATTATTATTATTTCCTATTTTAGACCTTTAAATATACAGTTTGACTTTATTTATAACTTCTTCTCTTAGTTCATAATTTAAAAATTCAGACATTTTCTTGATTATGCTTTACCAAAGATAAATAGCATATTAATTCTTATCCTAATTTACTATATCAAAGTATAGTAATAATAAAATCCAAATTTCCTTTTAGTTCAATATTGTAAATCCTATGAAATCTTTTTCTTCAGGTACAAATAATTAAAAAGAAATATGTTTACGAAGACAATAATTTGGATCATTAAACATTAAATTTATACTTGTAAAGCATTTTACATAATTTCCTAGTTCTAAGTCTGAAATATTAGCTTGAATGTCTTAAATCAATAATTATTGCTCTTATAATAATATTTCTTTTTTTTAAGCATTCATTTACTTTTATGAAGGATATTCTTCGTATTTCCTTAGTGAAGACATAAAATTTTTGTCAACAGATGATAATCTTTTCTATTACATAATTGTTAAATATAATATATTAAAATTTAAATTTTCAAAATTATTAGATGCTTTTAATTTCTATCGTTAATAACTTAAATGATAACTCAAAATTGGTTAAAATCTTATCTACTAATCTTATTTTCATATTCAATTCTATTTTTCATCAATTTGAAATATTTTTCTTTACTATTTTATAATCGATTATTTTATTCAATGCTAAATATTCATTTTATAATATTATACTCTTTTTTGAGTCCATCAACTTTAACTTAAATTTGTTTTAACAATTATTCATGGAACCAAGTTAATTTAATAACTTATAATTTATAGTTTATATGAAAATCTCTATTTAATAAGCTAATATTCCTAATAATTTCTATATCCATTTTTAATATATCAACTTTTTTCGATATTCTTTTAATTATTTCACTTTTATCCATATCCATATTAAGTAATTAATCTAATAAAGGATCATATTATTTTTTACTTTTAAAATGATGTTGATATTATAGTTATATATTTTAAATAAATGTTAAAAATAATATTTTAAATTAAAAATCAAAAGAATTAAAAAAGTATTAAATATTATATAATGAATTTTTTATTTCCTAAAATATAGACAAGACCAATTAATTTATTGGAAAAATAATGTCAAAGTGCACTCAAAGAAATGAGTTCACCTAAACAACAACTACAAAAATATGATTCCAAAAAACACTTAATCAAACATAGCTTTAGTGATAGATCATATAATAATTAAATAGGAAAGGTTTCTCATATTATAAATGATCATTCTACAGATAATAAATAATTAAGAGATTTAAATAAAAAAAGTATATCTGTTAGTAGTGTTGGAGTTAATTCAAAAACAGAGAAATATAAAATTCATCTTGATGTAATTGAAAATTAAAATCCAATCTAAATACCTCATTTAAGTTTAAAAACTCCTTAAAAATATCCTCCAATTCTAACTAGTAAAATACTACCATCAGCTAGGAGATTTAAAACAGAAATAAGTGAGGGCACATAATAATAAATTTATAAAATTTCTAATCATTTTACTATTCAAAAAGTAAAAGATAGACAATAAAAGTTAGTTAAAAATATCTAATCTCTAATTGAATATGCTAATTCATCTAGAGATCAGAAACTTTGTAAATTATTCGATAAATTAAAACATGATCTAAATTTAGATGATATAGAATATGAAAACGAATGAATTATATATTTCTTTATGTTTCTCATATATTTTCTCAAATATATTTAATTAAAAATAAATGAAATATATTGAAAATTGTATTAAATTAGACTTAAATTAAGTAATCTTAATCCTAAAACTAAATTTTAATTGAATAATCTTTTCAATTTAATTTAATCTTTAACATATAATCTTTGTATCTTATTAATATACAATATTAAAGATCCTTTTTATTGTATTATGGGGTATCACTTTAAATTTGGATAAATCTCATTTAATATTTAATATTTAATACTCTCTTTTTAATTAAACTTATAGTTTTAATATAATAGTTAAGATATTTAATTTTTGTTAAAATGATATCTTCATTTTTATTCTTATTTATAACTTATACATTATGATAAATAGTTTGTAATAAGTATAATTTCATACTTGTATTTATTATTTGTAAAAATAAATCATGATTATTATGATATACAAAAATATAAATATATACCTTTTGAATTAATCTGTTTGTGAGAATACTAGTATTTCTTTAAATTTAGTATTATTTTAGAAATAAAAAACAATATAATTTATTATGAAATAGGCTTTGCTTGATAATTACTATAAAGAATTAAACTTAAACTAACTTTATTCTGTGAGATCTTTAAAAAAGACACCTTTTGAAAAATAAAATCATTAAAATTATTTTGTTCCTAATATATTAAGTCCAAAGAATAATTTTTCAAATAGAAGTAGTTTAAAAGGAGGTGATGGATTAGTTGTATAAAAGCTTCATCGTTCCTAAAATAATTCAAGAATTTTACCAGATATTTAGAATGGACAAAGAGTTACAAAGAATAACTCTTAACCTTATCTTAATTAAGGATAGAAGAAATAGTATAAAATTCAAATAGAACCGTTAGAAGAAGAACACTTAGCAATTCCATACTTAAGAATGAATTTTAGGTTGAAATATGGATATAAAAAATAAAATTAAGAAAAGAAACAAAAAAATAGTATAGAAAATGATGATCTAAAACTTTAGAATAATAAAAGTGTTAATCTATTTAGAGAGAAATAAAAAGATTTTATAAATAAAGTATAAATGCAAGTTTAAGAATTATTATTAAAAGAGAATGAATAATTAAGTTTTGGTTTTGACAAATTAGAAAGAGAATTATTATAATAAATGAAATGAAATAGTTTTAATATTTGTGATTTTTTTGATTTTTGTAATATTTTATCAGATTTCATTCTATAAAAAATGCTAGAATAGAAATGAATAAGATTCCATGATCATAGCTAGATGATGTTGTTTTATTATCATTATTAACTGTATCATTTGTAGGGGATGATGTATTAGTTGCATTTGAATTATCAATTATAATAGTAGTGTTTTGTACTTTGTATGGATATGAGACACATTATGTAACATTCCATGTACATTATCCAAAATTACAATATTCTTATTTCAAATATGAACAATCAGAATGTTCATATTCAACACATTATAATTTTTTATTTAATCCAGGTTAAAGAACACCTAATATTATTATATATATTAATTTTACATGCTCCATAATTGCAATTATCTGCTCCAACAATAGATGTGCAATCAGACAATCCATCTATTTATGAACATTTTTTGGTTTCTGAATTATATATACAATGATGAGGATCTAATTCACATGCATCTTAATTTTCATTGTTTAAACCACATTGATCAAGAGGAATACATTCTGAATTGTAATATTAACATTAACTTGAGTATTTACAATTTTAAATAGTTAATTCACTACAGCTAACATTTTCTAATTTTTAACATTATCCATTATACCAAGCACAAATAGCTTAATTACAAGAAGCTTATCTAAATATTTATTCACATGGAGAATAAGTAGTAACTCTTGTACAAATTTATTAATCAAAATTAAAATAACAAAATTATGATTATTCATCCCAACAATCTACAATTTAAATATTATCTTAACATTATTTTCTTGTTTTACACATATTACCAGTTTTAAAACATTTTTCTCTATAAGAACAAAATTCTATTGTTAGATCTTCACAAGCAAAGTCAAATATTGAAATACAAAGATTTCTTGTTGTTGACCATTAACAAAGATTTTTTGTTTAATTAATTTTCTTTAAACATGATATTTAACCTAATAATTCGCATTTTGTATTTGGTTGAATCACTGTACATTAATTAAGAACTTTATCATTATAACAATTTCCTGTTTTATCACAATCTATAGATGTTTGACTTGAACAATCATAAGCAAACTCATATTTACATATTTAAAGATTATCATCCCAGTAACATTAAGAAGGAGCAATATCAGTTTCACAATCTAATTATGAATAAGATTAACAAATATAATCAGGTAATTTAATTTGACATTTATTGTCAATCTTTTCACAAGTACCTAACCATTCACAATTATTTTATCCTCTTTTTTTACATGGAACATTAGTAGTTAATAATTTACATTTGTTTTCATAATCATCAAAATAACATTTAAATCCATGATCATTATCACATGTTTCTTTTGTCTTAAAATCACTACAACGTAAATAGGATTTACAATTAGCACCTTCTAAATAGCATTTTTCATTATTTAAACAAGTAGTTGTACTTAAAAAACTACATGGAACATCTGGATCATTATATTAAACACATTTTACTCCTAACCATATACATGGTGCTGCTCCACTTTCACATCTAGATGTCCATTTAATATCAGCACAATTAGTTTTATGACTAATAGTTCTACACATTTTATATTGTGCATCAAAATAACATCCTAATTCAGATTCATGACATAAAGCAATTCCAGAACTAACATCAGTAATCTAAATTAATTCACAAAGATTTTTTAATTAACATTTTGTGAATATATAAGTTTCTTGATATTATTATTTATCTAAGATTTAAATTATTTATCCAAACTCATATAACCAAGTTCCTATAGCTCTTCCATCTCTCTATAAATTATCTACATTATTCATCAATGTATAATTAGTTATTAAATCTAATGTTTATGTAATATTCACCAATTCACATTATGAATTCCATTAACAAATTTATTTTGAGTAACTTTGACAAGGTGCTTAATCCCATTCCTTTTAATAATTAAATCAAATACATAGCATTCAACATTAATAGGATCCCATAAACAACTTCCTAATTTACATGACTCTTTAGTTATTAATTAATCACATCTTGTAAAATAGTTTAGACTCTTAAATCTTTAAAATTAATTACCATGCATCTATCATTCACTTAATCTAACACTACACCCTCTATTGGATTATTTGCTGATAAATATGGTACATTTGCTTCCACAATATAACCTAATATTATTAGTGATTTAATACAAAAATTTGATGTTTTTAAACATAAACCTATATCAGATACTTCAGAACACTGATCTCCATAAGTTAATTAAATGATTGCTATCATTAAAATAAGAAACATCTTCATTCAACTATGACAATATTTAATAATTTAAAAAATTAGATAATCATTCTTATTATTTTTTATTATAAGTATTTCTTGGAGTCCTTTATTTTCTTAAAACCTGTTAATCATCTATTTATTTAGGATGTCTTATCGTATTTGTAGAAGGAGTATAATATTCATTATATGGAGTCAAATTATCAGATACTTTTATAAGTTTATCACTTTTTTGATTTGGATAAGTATCATATTATTCTTCCTAATTTTATTATTTTTACTGTAAAGTTATTTATGATTTCATACATATATTCTTTATAATGGCTATGATTACTCTGATGTTGAATCTCCTCTTGTTGGTCTATTCAATTTCACATTATTATTATTATTTGGAGTAAGTTCACCAATGAAATTCTTTGTAAATTTTTTAGCTACTGCTTGGCGTAAAGATATTACTGGCACAACTTTAGTCTCTCTATCCAGTTACTCTTATAATGGTACGATAGTCTAGTATTGAAGATATGTCATCCAAAATCCATATAAAGATACAACAATTATTATTATTGAGATTATTAACAAAATTGTTCTTTATGTCGAGCTAAACGATTACTGTATATCATTGAATTCTATAAAATTTAATTTCATAAAGCAAGACAATAGTAAAATTATCCCTGAACTTAAGTCAAATAAAGAAGTCAAAACATTTACTATTACCATTATTTTCCCTATGTATAAGATTGTATGTCTCACAAAGAATATTAATTATAATATGAGTCCAGAAACCACCAAACTACCTATTTTTATATTAAGTTTTCATTACCTATGCATAAAAAGATCAATGCTATTGGTTTTGTAAATGCAAGTATCTAAATTTGTTCTAATAGACCAAAAATTCCTATTATCATTAAAAGTAATCCTTAAATGGCATTGGTTGTCATCATCAAATAAATAAACTATTTATAACGAAAGAACATGCAACAATAGCATACTCCAACGCTTTAATCATTGTAATCCATTTGTCTAATTTTGTTTTTTATTAATTATCTAAATAATTTCAATTACTGTTCATACTTTCTTCCAATCTTAAATTATTTGATTATTAATAACTTTAAGTTACCATTTAGTTGAAAAAATTTTAAATTAAAACCATTTATTGATTAATATCATACTATCTATTATAACACATAAATTTTGTCATCATATATAATTTTTAATTTTAAATCTAATATCCAAAAATTATCTATATAATATTTTATAACCAACTTTTTTTTATTAATTTTTACTATTAAATATGCTATTTTTTCTCTTTCTTTGTATATTCTTAATATCTAAATTTAAAATATATAGCTCAATATTTATTAAACATATTTATTTCTGTTTTTATAGTGCCAACAAATAATGAATTAAATAATTATCTCAATACTTTATTGCTATTTTTCAGATTTTTTGATTGATTAATATCTTTTATATAGACAAAAATTCATATATAATTGCCATCTCATTCAAAATTTACTATTATAATAAAAAACTTGTTTTGAACCTAATTTAATCTATTTTAGTTTAAAATAAAAGGCAAATAATTATTATATAACAATTTAATATTATAAATTGAATTAGTTTAAAAGGAATCAAATATAATTCAATTAAACATAGAAAATACTTTTCAAATCTTTCTTAAAATTATTAAAATGTGAAAATAAAAATATAAAAAAATTTTTAATTCTTAACATTTCTTTCAAATATACCAAGATTACTGATATTTATTAATTATTTTCATTTATCTGAACATGTATTAAGATTATTATAATAATAAAAATATATATTTATCATACGGTATTTAGTATATAATTAAAATAATCAACATATATTTAAATAATCAAAATGGGAAGAAAAAATAGAGATTTATCATACTTAAAACCATTTTGTTTTTACTGTGATAAAACATTTAAAAATGAAGTTTATCTACATTAACACTAAAAGGCTAAACATTTTATGTGTTAAAGATGTTTAAAAAAGTTTTCATCTTGTGATTCTTTAAAAAATCATGTTGAATCTGCTCATCATGAAGTATTAACCAAGTAATTTATTATTAAATTCAGAATACCAAATGCTACTGATGATAGAAGTGATATTAAGAATAAAATATTTGGAATGTAAGGTGTTCCAAGAATTGAAATAGAAAAAAGAATTAGAAAAGGAGCTGAAGAGTATTGGATGAAAATCTTAAGTGCTTAATATCAATAAAGAAGGAAAGAAAATAAATAAAGAATCAAGTAAAATAAAATTGCAATGAAATAAGAGAATATTTAAGAAATTAGATAAGAAGTAATATATGAATTATTTAATCAAGAATGAATAAGAAGAAATCAATTAATACGAATATAATCCAGAAGCTAAACCCATCATATTTGATTTAGATTTTGATTAATTACCTAAATAATGAGGTATTTTATAAAGAAAATAAATTATATACTTGGAAATTTTATAAGAAAGTAATGAACAGCTAGCAAAGAATAATCAGCCTAAATTAATTATACTTTTTTAGCAATTCTCTAGCTTAATACTTGTTTTAAATTAAGTTTTACATTTAAGGCATAATTTTTCTAATAGGTTTGCTTTGTTTACATTTTAACAAATATATAGAATTATTTGAAAATATTTATAAACAATGCAATGAGCATTTCAATAATATCTAATAATTTAATATTAGAATCAATTATTTATGAACTCTATATGAAAATTTACTCAACTATATTGTTAATTATTGTTTCAAAATAATATAAAGAATAATTAATATTTATTCTGATTAATGACTTAATTTTAAATGTTTAAGACATTATTATAAGTAAATGTACTTTGATTCAAGATATAATGAATTTTACATAAGCATCTAACATGAGTATAATTTAGTTTAAATAATTTTTACTTGAGAAAAATCCTTTGAAGCATTACTATCTCAGTCTTAAGATAAACAATTGCAATTTTTATATTGAAACCTGTATCCAAAATGGTTTCTTTAAAAACAAGCTTTTTGGATAAATTTGAATATAAATATGATAAACCAATTTAATTTTTATTTCATAAATATCTCTTCATTCATATTAAAATTAAAATTTATTTATTAAAATTTAATGTAGATTATTTTAATGAGATTCAACACCCATCCTTTTTAATTGAATTTATATATTATTTATTTAAAGGACTTTTCATCTATATTCCTTAAAATTTATGTTTTCAGATGTAAATTGTATTATTATTAGTTACAAACAAAATTTAAAATATAGTTAAAAAACATCAATTTTTCTCCAATATTGCTAATTTAGCTCTTATGCTTGCAATATATAAATTATTTGCTTCTTCTTCTGCTTAAATATCTCTATTTAATAATGCTAATTTTTCTCTTTCTTTTGCCTTTTATTCTAATTTTTAAACATTATTCAAAACATTTTAAACTTTCTATTCATTTTCTAAACCTTTATTTTCAATTATTCTATAATAATATATTGATATACTTCTCCCATTGATCTTCCATGCTTACTTAAACTTTTCTTTATTATCTTAATTATTAGAGATAATCAGTAGTTTTAGGTTTAGGTGGTAGTTCTGAAGGTTTATCAACTTTTTCTACAACCTTTTATAACTTTTTAGTCATTGGTTTTGGTGGTCGATTCTCTTGATGATTGCTTTAATCAGTAATAGAATCTTTAGAATCTTAACTTAAATGCCTTTATTTAGGTATAAATTTTTTAATTTTTCTAAGGTTCTATTCAGTAATTTAAATTTCTTTAATTTGTTTAGATTACTCTTCTTTAGGAGGTGGAGATTATTTAGGTTTTTAAGGATGATCTTTAAAATATATCTCTTAAGCAACATCTGCATATTTTAATTATTTCAATCTAGCCAATTTCTTTTATTCCATTTCTTATTCTCTTATCAATTTTTACATCTTTTATTCTTCTTCAACTCTTAATTAAGCTTAACTCTTAGGAAATTTAAGAGATTTTTGCTTACTTTCAAATTCCAATTCTTACTTATGATGTTCTCTTTCATATTCTTTAATTTTTCTGTCTTCTTCATATTTCTTCTAATGCTCTGTCAAATCACTTAATTTAATAGGTTAACTCAATTCTCTTTTTTAAGCTAGAACAGCCTTAATTTAATAAATATATACTTTTCTTTTTTCTAATTCAGGCAGCTATAAAGCCTCTTCTTTTTATTTAACCAATAATTCCTTTTATTTGATCTTTTCTTAAATTTATTTAATTATTCTATTGGCTTCCTATTATTATTTTGCAATTCTTTCTTTTTCTGCTTTGTCTTCTTCCATCCTCTATAAAATTTATTATCTTTTATTCAGTCTTGGAATATTAGCTATTTCTTCTGCATATGCAAAAGCTTAATCTTTGGTTGTTTATGACTATTATTTTATCGAAGTATTTTTTGGTCTCTTTTTTTATTCTTGAGAATTGTGAGGTTTTTGTTTTTTTTCTGATTCTTCTTGTAATTCATTTAATAATTATCTATCAGATTATTTTTCATCTAAAATCATGGCTGAATCTTATTATAGAATTCCTGATAATTCACATTTTTAAATATTTTACTCATCAACTGATTAATTATTTGTATCTATTTATTAAGATTATTGATTTGGAATCTAAATTTTTGAATCTGAAATTTAATCACATGATTTCTATTTAGATATTTGATTTATTTTTTATAGAGAGAATTTATGACTTATTGTTTTTGATTTAATTATTGATCCTGCTATTGCAAAGAATGATTTAAATTTTGTTAAATTTACTTTATCATTTTAGACTTTTTAGACTATAATTTACATTCCTTCTTATATTTCAGTCAATGTATGTTTGTCAGTTGTAAGTAATTCAAAATGAAATGATATCTAATTGATAATATTATAGAATTACACTAAATTAATCTTAAATAGCATGAATTAAAGCATCAATGGTTGGATCTTACAATTAAATTTCATGTTGTTCAGAATTAAGAGTAATAATTACTTTCATAATAAAAATATTAATATAATTTTATATTCATATTTAAACAAGAGAGCCTTCTTATAGGAATTTAATAACATCTGATTTCTTCACTAATTATTATGTTCCTTCTTCTAAATCAAGTTCATCACCATCTTATGTAATAATATTTCCAATTTATTTTATCACTCTTACTTCAATAAAGACTTCTGAAGGTGGTATTATATTCTAATATATTTTAATAATTGATAATTACTTAACTAACTTTAGTCTCAACATCATTTTCATATTTTTTAACTAATTAATCAAAAAATTTATAGTAGTCTTTTTCATTTTTAGATAATTAATCTATATGATCACTACTTAATTAGCCAGAATCCATAAAATACTAAGACTATATTTTATTAATCTAATAATTTTTATTATCAAAATTACTCTATGCATTAGATAAGCTAATTATACTCTTTTTGTTCTTTCAACATCTTTTATTTTTAATGAAATAATAGGTTTAATTTTATCAGCTAATTCAGGATCATTACGAAGTCTAAACAATGATGAGATGTAAATACTTATAAATTTCTTATATTTCTTTGATTGATTTCTAATGATCTGTTGTGCATGTTGAATATAATTCTTCATTAAATGGAGGAAGAAATAAACTATTTTAAAGATCATGTAACAATTTATTCCTATTTTGAATATCCATAATTATATTAAAAAATATTAAAATTTCAACTTTATTTTTATTGAATTTTATCAACAACATTAAGATGATATATTTCTATTGTTGAATTCTGGATTTATTTATAATTTATATGATTATTGAATATGTACATTATTTTATTACTTTAATCAAACTTGAGTATAGTATAGATGTCAACGGCAAAATATTTGTATTAAATAAAATGAAAATAATCGTTATTTTATGTGTCATTGCTATTGTAGTTTGTTCAGAATTCTCAAATATGAACTTAGAATCAGCTCTACATGAGAATGGATCTGTTTATGGATGGAGAGAGGATGAATAGAAGACCTTTTAAAATTGGGTAAAAGAAAATTAGAGAACTTATAATAACGAATTCGAATTGATCTATAGAATGGAAGTTTTCGTTAAGAACTATAGAGCAATGAAGGTATTATATAATTTAATTGAATTATTTAGCATCATAACGAATAATTGCCAAAAGATGTTTGGGGATTAAACAATTTTGCAGATGAGACTAATGAAGAATTAGTGGATAAATTATTTATGAAGAGAGATTTTGAAACACATTATGATTTATTTAATGAGGATGATATCAATGCTATTCGATCTGATGCTTTAAATCACAATTCCTTTTTATAAGCTGATAAAACTGTTGTTGTTAAAAAAGTTGTCAAATAAGCAACAACAGCATCAAAAAAAGTAGCCGCTGAACCTGTTAAGAATCCTCCTAGTTTAGATTGGTTAAAATAAGTAAGAATTATTGAGATTATATTAAGATAACTGAAGTACAATAATAAGGAAGATGTGGTAGTTGTTGGGCATTTGCTGTATCTGATGTCACAATCAGTAGATTATCAATAGCAAATAAAAATAAGTTAGATTAATTATCAAAAACTCATCTAATTGATTGTGCTGATGGAAATACTGCAGGATGTGATGGAGGATCAGTTGGAGATGCATTTGAATTTATCAACAAATATGGAACAGTTTATGAAAAAGATTATAGAGAATATGATTAAAAAGAAGATGAATGTTCAAAACCTAAGGGAAGTATTGGATATAAACAATTTAAATCGATTGAAGGACTATCTAAATTCACAAATAATGATATAGAAACAGCAATGCAAGATGGACCTGTAGCTGCTCTAATGTATGCTGATGAGAGTTGGTTAAGATATAAATCTGGAATTATTAATACTTGTAATTATCCTAAAGTCTCCAATTATCAACATGTAGTTGTAATTGTTGCTTATGATACATAAACTTGGTTTGTTAAAAATTCTTGGGGATAATAATGGGGAATGGAAGGATACTTTTAAGTTCAAAAGAATGGAGATGAGAATTGTTTGGATAAAATTAAGAAAATTACATTTCCATAGATCTGATTTATTATTAATCAATAATAATAATAAAATCGATTTAAATATTTTTTTATCAATTATCACTTTTACTTTATTATATAAAAATAATACTATTATTTAATTAAATTATTAAGTACATTATGACAGACATCTCATTTGGAGGATTTATTTCATTAAAAAATATTAAAAATCCACAATATGAAATGGAATATTTATTAGATCCTGTAAATGATAAATATGTAAGAGATATATTACCAATTAAAATTTAAAATTTTGAAATCAAACGATTAGAATGGGTTGATTTTGTAGGCAAACCAAATGAAGAAATGCCATGGATTGCTCATTGTTATTGGAATATTATATATGATTATTAAATGATTGAAGAAAAAGAAGAACCTTTAATCAAACAATAATAATCACCAATATTACCTATCAAAATATAAAATGATGCTTAAGCTAAAGATATTCCTTAAGATATTAAAAAATCACCTTTAATACCTCTTAGAAAAATAACTGAACCTTCAGAATAATATGGTTTAAGATAATAATCTCCTAAATTACCACCAAAATTACCTCTCTAATAAAATGATCAATTACCTAGAATTAATAATAGACTTTTTAATAAACCACCAACACCTTCTACAAGAGTTTCAAGTGTTCAGAGAATTACTCGTGTATCAACACCAAAGAATTGTTCTCCTTAATAGAAAGTTGCTAGAAGCAATTCTAGTTCAAGTTTAAAAAGATAATCACCAGCTCGTTAGAAAGTTAAATTATAAGTTATTTGCAAATTTTCAGATAAATCATGGGCTAAATCTACTTCTGATGATGAATTGTTAGAACATGAAACAGGTCATTATTTAATTGGATGTTTATGTGCATTAGAATTTAAAAGATAAATAGAATAACTTGGTATTATGAAATCAGATAATCATTCAAATGAAATTAAGTCTATTTTTCAAACAAATTTAAGAACTTTTCTAAAAATTGAAAAAGATTATGATGAAGAAACCAATCATTATTTTGATACTTATTTATAAAAAAAATGGAATCACAAAATAAAAGAGTAATTGTTATTATATGAGATGTATTTTAACAATTGATATTAGTGTAATAATATTTCATTAATATATATCATATTCTTAATCCATTCTTATTGAATTAATATTTAATTTTAATTAATACAAGTAATCTTTAAATTAATACAAGTGAGTACTATATTGATCTTACAAAGTTTCAATATATTATACAATTTAAGCTAGTAATTATTTTTCTTTTATCTGATTTATTTAGATTTTACAAGTTATTTCTTTCGTTCGGTTAACATTTTAATTTTTTATTTATAATATCGAATCTTTAATCAATTATAATTGTTCTTTCAAAATCTCTAATTCCTTTTACTTTTCTTATAAATTTATCTCATCATTTAGTATACTTTTTTTTTATTTATCAATATCATTTTGGCAGCTTTGCTTATATATTATATGAATACTATCTTAATTTCTCACTTAGGATAACTTTTTGTTTATCTACCTTTTGATTTTATTCCTATATGTATTCTATGTATAAATCATTCGATGATTTAGTTTTTGATTTCATTATAACATTTTACAAACGAATGTCCAATAACTTTTATTAAATTTTTATTCTTTCTTGATTTGCATTGATAAATTTATCATTAAATAAGTCTTTTTCAGTTGATAATTAAGTAGAACGTTCAGATGTAAGGTTGATAGATTTCTTATGAACAAGAAGCATTTATTTTTTTGCATTTATACTTGGACTTTATAAATTATCCTTTGAACAACTTATCTTTGATTTTTATACAATCTAACCTTTCCAAGTTTAAATTATAAATTGTCTCTCCTTTTAATTATCCTAAGTTATTTTCAATTTTTCATCCTTTTATTCTTGCTATTATGCCTTACAATTCATATCAAAATTTAAACTTATTATTTATAAATATAGTAAATTTTAAAATATATATTCAGATTTATTGGTCTAATGTTATGAGCATTTACATAAAAATATTATTGAATTTATTGATATAATGTCCAAATTAACAATCTTATGTCAACATTTATTCCTTTAAATACTTAGAAATGAATTAATCTACTTTTAATAACATCTGTTTGTGTTTTATTAGATTTTATCTATGTTATACTATTTCATCCTTCAAAGATTTATTAGTAGTACTAATTTCAAGTATTTATTGATCTTCATTGAGTTAATCTAACTCAAATTTCAGTTATTATAATAATTACTTATTAGACTAATATTGTTATTTGGCATATTTTAATTATTCTCTCTTCTCTTATAAAATTTGTTTAGTTCTATATTAATTTAATATAATACTTTATAATTTTCTTTTCAAAATTTTCTATTTGTTCTTCACTTACAGGTATTTTATGTTATGAATTAGAAATACTTTTAGGTGATTTACTAATACAATTTAACAATTTCTATGATTTTTGATCAGTTTCATTAACAAATTTTTCGAAGCTAGTTATAATTAATCTATCACTAAAAGCATTCTCTTCCTTAATTATTTAAGTATTATTTGTTTATAATTTTGCTGTTAATAGATTCATTTTCTTTTTTAATGCATCTCTTTTAATCATGGTTTTAAATTATTGAGAAGGATTTTGAGTTTGATTGAATTTATCAGTTTAATCTAATTTATTTGTTGGACTTAGTATTCTTAATCTAGAATTTGGAGAGGTGTTTGGTGTTAAAAAACTTGTTGGAGTACATGAATTCTGTTTTTAAGGTTGTCTTTGATAAAGTATTTTGTCTAAACTTTTAATGCTAATAAATTCATTCATATTATGAAATAAAAAGAAATTAAACTTGTTTATGAAAAAACTAATGAGGTATATTAATGGCAATTAATGCCTTTAGATTAATTAATTCAAGAAGTTAGTCAAGTTTTTAATATACAATTAGGCACATTTTAAGTTGTGTCTTAAGATAAAAGAATTGAAATTAGAAATACTGAAGAATTATATTGGTATGGTTAAAGTGGTGGTATTTTAATTACTGAAAAGTAAACCTTTTAAAACAGAGTATACTCTCCAGTTCCTAATTTGAATCTAAGTTAAATTTAGAATCAAAAACAATATTCAATAGTTAGAAAAACTTAAGAAATTAAAAAGAGACTCAATCAAACAATTAAATTAATGAAAAATACTTAATCTACTATAACATATAGAAGTTTGTCTCCAAAAGAAAGTTGGAAATGTTTATAAGAAAAGACTAAACAATTATAAGAACAAACTTAATAATTTAATAGTAGATAAGAGGAATTACAATAGGAATCTGAAAAGTAAGATATTTAATATTATCTAAGTTTATTAAAAGAAATTTTGGCAGTTTAAAATGAAAATGTAATGTATAGCAAACGTAATGATGGCTTATAGAAATCTATTAATTAACTTTAAATGCTTTTGAAATTATAGAAAAAATAAATAAACTAAATAAAAATGAGGTATCCTGCAATAGATTTAGATTCTTATGTTAGTTCAATAAAGTATTAAAGCAATTTAAAGGATACTTTATTGAATTATCTTCAAGTATTGTTACAAATGATTCTTAAAGGAGAGGATAAGAATAATTTTAAAACTACTTTTAATTAAAATGAAACAATATTATGTTTACAACAAATTATGAAAGAAATAAAGAAAATTTGAAAATAATACTTTATAATAAACATCATTAATCACACAACTATTTTAGACTTATCTATCATGAATTTAATTAAAAACTAAGAAGAATAATTATTTTCTAATCTATCAAAACATTTGGATGTCAAATATTTTAATTATTATAGCAATTTTTTTACTAACTCTCTTTTTTCATCTTTAAATTCATTAACATTTATTAATTTAATTGAATAAAAGAATAAATGTTATGCTGCTTAATAAGTTTTCTTGCTTTAATTTAATGTTATCAATAATTATAAAAATTTTAATACATCTTCTTTAACCATTTTTTAGGATAACATAGAGACAACATTGTCATAATCATCTTGCCTTAAATAAACATAATATTTACTTATAAATTTCAGTGACAGCTTAAATAAAATGTTTTATATAATTATTCTAAAATGCAATAAAAGCTGCATCTAAAAATAGTTTATCTCTCATAAAATCTTAAAATGTTTGTAATTTTATTTTAATATCATGTTATTATAGTTATTATTATTAAGTTACTTATTCTGTCTTATCTTTCCATAAAATTAGATTTGAATCATTTGCTCCAGTCACTATAAAAACATCTTGATTTTCTCTCTTAATATCTAAAGCATAAATTTTACCAGTATGTTGTGAGAAAGTATTAATACATGTTTATTTCTTAACATTCCATAATTTTATATTACCAATTGCATCAGAACTTATTAATTCAGATCCTCTAGCCAACCATGAAACTTTTAGTTAAGGAGCAACTCCTTAAAAAGATTTAATTATAGAACCATCACTAAGATTCCAGAGTTTTATAGTATTATCTCCACTTGCTGAAGCCAATATTTTTTCAACTGGAGAGAATTATATATCCCAAACACCTCTTTTATGTCCTTTAAGTATCATCTTATTCATCAAATTTTCATCCCATAATTTAATAAGTCTATCTTAAGAAGATGTGGCAATAAGTTTATTATTTGGTGAGAATCGAACACAATTCATTTCTTTTTCATGAGCAACAACAGTTTTGATAGATTATTCTGATTGATAATTCTTTAAATTCCATAATTTAAGAGTTTTGTCTTTTGAAACTGAAGCAATATATTTGGAATTGACATCTATAGAAATTACATCATCAGAATGACCACTATATTTGTGTAATTCTATTGGTTATTTAAATCCTTTATATTTAAATATAATGACACAATTATCTTTTGATGCTGTTACTATTAAATCATCAATAAATTCACAACACATGATTACACTGAAATGAGCCTTCCAAGCTATTACTTCCATGTTATCTAAATTTAATATTCTAAAATATAGATATTTAATATTACTTCATAAATGGTGAATTCGTAGCCAAAAGTAATTAATTATTTTTAATAAACTTCACATGTAATATTTCATCATTATATCCTAATAATAATTTTTATTATTAAATTTAACCAGATACTAATTCAGTTATATAAATATGCAATTCACTAGTTATAATATACAATTTCTCATTACAATTAATAAATTTCAATATTTATTATCCATTAAATTGTTAATCAATAACAATATTTTTATTTTATTATTTAATATGCAAATCTCCAGATTCAGTACCAATAATTAAGGTATTTTTAAAATAAATAAATGTTTCAATTTCAATATCAAATTCTATAGTTTCACTCATTTTTTATACACTTGTATCCCAAAATTTAATATATTTATTACAACTTGATATTAACATATGTTGATTAAATTAAATATGAGTAATTCTACTATTAAAGTCAACAAAAGCACAAAGTATTCTATTAGCTACTAAATCAAATAATGAGATGCGTCTATCATCTGTGGCAATAGCAATTTATAATTTTCTCATAATAGGAATCCATTATAATTTAAGAACACTTCCACTTACTCTAAATTNTATATTACCAATTGCATCAGAACTTATTAATTCAGATCCTCTAGCCAACCATGAAACTTTTAGTTAAGGAGCAACTCCTTAAAAAGATTTAATTATAGAACCATCACTAAGATTCCAGAGTTTTATAGTATTATCTCCACTTGCTGAAGCCAATATTTTTTCAACTGGAGAGAATTATATATCCCAAACACCTCTTTTATGTCCTTTAAGTATCATCTTATTCATCAAATTTTCATCCCATAATTTAATAAGTCTATCTTAAGAAGATGTGGCAATAAGTTTATTATTTGGTGAGAATCGAACACAATTCATTTCTTTTTCATGAGCAACAACAGTTTTGATAGATTATTCTGATTGATAATTCTTTAAATTCCATAATTTAAGAGTTTTGTCTTTTGAAACTGAAGCAATATATTTGGAATTGACATCTATAGAAATTACATCATCAGAATGACCACTATATTTGTGTAATTCTATTGGTTATTTAAATCCTTTATATTTAAATATAATGACACAATTATCTTTTGATGCTGTTACTATTAAATCATCAATAAATTCACAACACATGATTACACTGAAATGAGCCTTCCAAGCTATTACTTCCATGTTATCTAAATTTAATATTCTAAAATATAGATATTTAATATTACTTCATAAATGGTGAATTCGTAGCCAAAAGTAATTAATTATTTTTAATAAACTTCACATGTAATATTTCATCATTATATCCTAATAATAATTTTTATTATTAAATTTAACCAGATACTAATTCAGTTATATAAATATGCAATTCACTAGTTATAATATACAATTTCTCATTACAATTAATAAATTTCAATATTTATTATCCATTAAATTGTTAATCAATAACAATATTTTTATTTTATTATTTAATATGCAAATCTCCAGATTCAGTACCAATAATTAAGGTATTTTTAAAATAAATAAATGTTTCAATTTCAATATCAAATTCTATAGTTTCACTCATTTTTTATACACTTGTATCCCAAAATTTAATATATTTATTACAACTTGATATTAACATATGTTGATTAAATTAAATATGAGTAATTCTACTATTAAAGTCAACAAAAGCACAAAGTATTCTATTAGCTACTAAATCAAATAATGAGATGCGTCTATCATCTGTGGCAATAGCAATTTATAATTTTCTCATAATAGGAATCCATTATAATTTAAGAACACTTCCACTTACTCTAAATTCAGTACTTTATTAATTCTTTTTAACATTTATAATTTTGACCATGCAATTAGTACCACCTAAAGCCAAATAAACATCTTCTGGACTAAATTACATATCAATGGCAAATAAAGGATCTGTTTTTATTGTAAATTAAGTAATATGATCATTCAATCTAACATATCTGAGCATATAATTCTTTGTAAATGTTGCAATATAATCATTTAAATTACTCACACAAAAATTTGCTATTTCTTCTTAATTATGTTAAATTTTCTTATCAAGATATTACACACAAAAATTAAAACATGTATATATCACATTATTTGTTATTTGTATTTTACCTCCTTAATAGAAAGGCAATAACTATTTAATTGGTTCAATATGTGTAATAAATTAATCCTCATTTATTATTTGAACTTATTTAGTTTCTTATTCCTTTTTATCAACACCAATTTATTTTGATTACAAAGATAATTTACTTAGTTTTAACCTAAGTAGACGTCTTGATTTAAGCAATTTGGTTGATTATACGATTTTAACCATATATTATTATATAATTAATTATTAATAAGAAAATTGCAAAGCACTAAAAAAAATAAGTTAAATTAGATGAAATCATTTGGTTTTGACAATAGTTTTGATATCTTTCCATATATCATTTACAGGTCTTTCGGCATTTACTTCAAATAAAATTCCTTTTCTAAAATTAATATTTATTTTTTTTACTTTCTGTAATAATCAATAATAGGAGATGTCTTAGACTAATAAACATTTAATCTATTTCTGATTGTAGCCTCTTTATCATCTTCTCTCTAGACAAGAGGTTCACCTGTAATATCATCTACTCCATGAACCTTAGGTGGATTGAATTTATAATGATAAGTTCTTCCAGAATTCAAATGAGTCCATCGTCCTCCAAGACGATCAACAACTACTTATTCTCTTACATTCATAAATATTGCTTAATCAATCTATTATCCACTTTATTTGAGAATCTAATCAAGTTTTTCAGCTTAAGGAATAGTTCTAGGAAATCCATCTAAAATAGCACCATTAGCACAAGCAGGTCTTTAATAAGAAAAGTAAAATACTTGGCTAATTATTATTTGATGAGATTGCACATAACTTCATCTTCAATTAATTCTCCTCTCTCCATGATTCCTTTTAATTTCTTTCCAAATTCACTTCCTGATCGTACTTCTTCTCTCAATAAATCTCCTGTCGACAAATGACACATACAAAAACGAGCCAACATTTTAGCTGAATGTGTTCCCTTACCTAATTTGAATAATTTGAATTTAATACCTGCTCCTGGCATTCCTAATAATACAATTCTTTTTCTTAATGCTTCTTCTTGACATCGATATCTTCTATAAAGTTCTTAAATTAGAGCAGCATTTGAAATCTTGGAGTAGGCTTATGTATCCATTTGGATTTTTTTATTATAATTAATTAAGAGATATTTTTAATATATTTTAAGATATATATCCTAAAATAATTATTATAAAAATTTATATTAAAAATTTAATGACTCGTCATCATATTAATTAATCATTTATTTTATAATAAAATAGTCCAAATTATGCCATAATATTTTCATTTCCTTCAATATTACTTCAAATTTCATTTCCGTTCTAGTTGTCAGAATAGATATATCATCTAAAATAGAAATATTTATTATTTTGAAGGAGCATTTTATAGTATTAATTGAGTTAGTATTTATCACCAATCTAACTCTTTTTCATTTAGAAGAAATAAGATGTTGTTATTGATTATATGCTTAACTTATATTAAAATTGCTCAAAAGAAAAAAATTTAAACACTAGTGAATTATTAATATTTTGAATATCTAATAATAAATAGAAATAATAGAAGAAATAAATTACTAAATAAAATTAAATACACATTATAAATAAATTGTGATTTAATTTATGTTAATTAATAATACGCTTATTAATTGCACACTTTAAGAATAATAGCATAAGATATAGTTTAAAATAGATTTTTTAAATAATTAAAAAGTGATAATAAATGTAGCATATTTTTAGATCATTCAATAGCAAAAGCATATTCCATTCCTCTAACCTCTTGAAAGAAAGGTTAAGAGAAATTATACCAATTAAATAAGCTTTATTAAGGGATATTAGAAAGACTTATGGATAAAAAGAAATCTGTAAAGTGACTGTTGATTAAGCCATTGGAGGAATGAGAAATGTATTTGGATTGTTTTATGATATTTCATTGTTGGATTCAAAAACTGTAATTTTTTATTGTTACTGATAGGGTATTACATTCAGAGATTACAATATTCCAGAGATTTAAGAATACTTATAGAAAGCTAAAAATGGTAATGAGCCTTTACCTGAAGCTTTATTTTGGTTATTATTGACAGGTGACTTTCCATCAGATTAAGAATTCAAATTTGTTTAAGAAGAATGGAAGAGAAGAGGAGAATTAGACTAAGAGACAATTAAATTCATAACAAGTCTTCCAAAATAATTACATCCAATGACAATGTTATCTTAGAGTGTGTTATATTTATAAAAGGACTCAACATTTTAATAGGCTTATGAAAGTGGAAAAGCCACAAAACCATAATATTGGGAATATTATTATGAAGATGCAATGGACTTGGTTGCCAAAATCCCAAGAGTTGCAGCATTAATTTATAGACATAAATATAAAGTAAATAAAAAATAATATTTAATTAGAATGGAGATTTAATTAACAGTGATAATTCATTAGATTGGGCAGCAAATTACTCTCATATGATGGGTTTCAATTAATTTAATGCATATGAATTATTTAGAATGTATTTAAGCATTCATGCAGATCATGAAGGAGGAAATGTAAGTGCACATGCTACTCATCTTGTTGGATCTGCTTTGGCTGATCCATATTTATCATATTCAGCTGGTATTAATGGTTTGGCTGGACCTCTTCATGGTTTAGCAAACTAAGAAGTTCTTAAATGGTTGATTGAAATTAGAGTAAAAATTATTAAATTATAAATAGGAAAAATTAGGTGATAAAGTTTCTAATGAAAAAATATAAGAATATGTTCTAAATACTATTAGAGAAGGTAGAGTTGTACCAGGATATGGACATGCTGTGTTAAGATATACAGATCCTAGATATATTCATTAAAAGAATTTTGCAGAAAGATTGATTAAAGATGATCCTCTTGTTGATCTTGTTAAATAATGTTATCATGTTATTCCACCTGTTCTTAAGACAATAGGAAAAATATAAAATCCATGGCCTAATGTTGATGCTCATTCAGGAGTTCTATTAAATCATTTTGGATTGAAAGAATATGAATATTATACAGTTGTATTTGCTGTTTCAAGAGCACTTGGATGTACTGCAAACTTAGTTTGGGCTAGAGCCTTTGGATTACCTATTGAAAGACCAGGATCTATTACATTAAGATGGATTGAAGAAAAGTTTGGAGAAAATTAATCTGTTAAATGAAAATGTATTGTATGTTAAATTTAAAATAAAAATAATGTAATCTAAAGGACCTTCTGCATAATATCTACAGAAACTCATAATCGAGGATCCAAATAGAGCTCCTGAACGTGTGTTTTAAACTAATTAAAAATATGCTGAATATATTGCTTATTTAGGTTCTCAAAAGGCTCCAATAACTGCATATACGAAATTAGCTTAATGGAAATAATACTAATTTGAGAATGTAAATCTATTAATTGATCCTGCTAAAATATCACCTTTATTATCTGCACTTACTGATGAAAATAAATTATTAAAACATGAATGTTTCAAATAATCTAATGATATTGTTGAATTAACTACTATGGTTGAAAGATTAATAGATGATAATTTAGTAATAAAGAAACATTTAGATTTGAAAACTAATGAAATGTAACATTTTCTATAGACTTAAAAAACATAAATAAATGAAGAAATATAGGATCTCAAATTTTAAGTTTAATCGTTATAAGATGAGAATAATCTTTTAATTACACATTTGGAAGATTTGAGAAGAAATCAAAACGATGATGTTATTAACAATTTAGAAACTGAATTAAGTAATGCTAGAGATTTATTTGAGTAATAACAATAGAATTTCAAATAATGTTAAGAAAGAGAATATGATATTAGTAGGGAACTTGTTAAAATGAATTCATAATATAAAGAAGCTTTAGAGAAGATTGTTGAGTTGTCTTCATAATTAAGTAGTTATGAAGATAACAATCATGAACTTAGAAATCAACTTATGTTAATTTCTAATAAAATCAATATTATATAAAAGAATGCTTTTGATTAAGTTAATCAAAAGGAAATTGAAATTGAAAGTTTACAAATTAAATTTAATACTTTAATTAAAGATAATGATTCAATTAAGGATTAATTAAGTTAGTATGAATATAAAATATAAGAATTAATTAAAGAGAATACAAAAATAAGTGAAGAAATGAAGATGATTTAATTAATGAATAATGAACTTTTAAATTAAGAGAAAGATATAAAGAATTAATTATAATTAGAGAAAATGAAAAAAATTCCAAATTTATAGGATGATTAAATGAATAAAGAATAATTATTAAAAGAATGCAGAAGATTAGGAGAGTAATTAGAAAGAGCATAATTAGAATATATTAAATTAGATGATTTTTTGACAAAACAGATTGAATTATAAAAAAAATAATCAGAATAAATTCTTGAAAACATGAAAATCAGATATTAAAATTCTTTAGATAGTAGATAAGAATAAATTAATTAGTTAGAAAAACAAATTAGTTCTTAGATTGAGTAGATTAATATTCAAAAAAAAGAATTAGAAATAATTAATTTAGATTATTAAGAAATTAAATAAAAATAAGTATAATCTAATATATTTAAAAATAGGAAGATTAATCTTAGTTAAAGAAATTAGTTGATTAATAAGTGATGGAAATTAGAGTTCTAAAAAGTTAATTATAAGATAAGAAAATGCTTATTAATGAAATGTTAGATGAAAAGGATAAAATGAGTAAGTTATTTAAAAGTGAATAAATATCATAATAGTAAAATATTCATTTGTTGGAGGAAGAAATAAAATAATTATAAAATTAACAAATTAAATATTAATCATAGAAGGAAGATCTTGAGAAATTATTAGAAATCAATGATAACTTGAAATAAGAAATTCATCATATTTAATAATAATATAAGGATGTTTAATCTTTATGTAGAGATGAAATTGAAAAAAGATAGAATGTATAATATTGATTAATAAAGTTATAAGTAGAAGCAGGTATTTAAGCTAATTAAATTGGAACTCTTAAAGAGTAGATTAGATATTTCTAAGAATAATAGCAAAGGAAAGATAAATTAGACTAGGTTTTATAGGAAAATCAAATTCTAAGAGCTCAACTTAAATAATGATTATAATATTAAATAAATACGAAAAAACATAAAACAAAACTATTAATCAAAATAAACTAAGATTATTATCTATATGAAATGAATGCTTAAAAAAGCTTGTTGGTCTTTTGTTTTGAGTACTAAAAAAATGAGTTTATATTTATGGTTTTTAAATTCCATAAGTTTATTAGTATTTCTCATGAGTACTTCTAACATGGTTATTTTTGCTCCAAAGAGTACTAAATATTTATTCTTTTTTTTTATGAGTTTATTAGTCATAATGAGTAAGATCAATATCAATGACATCAGAAATTAAATTTATTAATTTGGAGACTGATTAATTATTGTTACGTTTAGTGACAACTTATGATGTTTTACGAATACTGTAATTACTAATACTTCTTGTTTTGTTAATAATACATGAAGTAGGTCTATTTATTGGCATTTTATTTACTCTAGGCGAAAAAATCTCTTCTTTTGGTTTACTAACTATTTATCTCTACATAAACATCAATATAATATTTAGTACATAGTTGGATTTCATTTATGAGATTGTTTCATAAAGGGAAGCAAATAACTTATTAAATTATGATCTGCAATATTCATGTAACCATTTCATAAGGAGAGGCATAAAGGGAATCTAAATTTAATTATACCTTAATTACTTTATCATATAAATTATTCTTCTTAATCGCCTGTATTTATTATAATCTATGATTCATTCCAGATGCAATAAAAAATTGACCATATAGTTCTGCAATATCTAAAAATTCACCAGATAAGTTCACCTTCACCTGGAATTGAGGTAACCACTAAGTTATTAGTTTTAGTGATAAATGATAGAAAGACCTTCATCATACAAACCTCATACATCAAATGTGTTTTCGATTTATTTGGGACTAACATTTCAATAAGTGCAAATTCTTATTCAACTCTTTATTTCTCTTATTTAAGTGATTGAGATAAACATTTCTCATTAATATTAACAAATGATAAGAAATCGGTTGGAGTTTTAATATGCTCTGTCTGATTAATTCTCTATTAGATTGTCTTTGTATTGTTTGCTCTATCAAGTCCTATCTATAAAAGCATTGAAAATATTTCAAATGTATTTGCCTCATGCATTACAGGATATAATGAATATGTGGACATAGGTTTTATAATTTAATATAAATGATTTTGATAATAATATGTCTTATTTCATCAACATGCTTTAAATTGTCTAACTCCTTTCTATTATTAATTTTCAAATATAATACAGGTTGACTACAGGCAGGACATACATGTGTAACATCCTGACAATCTTTCATATAAAATGGTAGGAAAGCTAAAAATGCTCCAAATATGCAAAGAGTGACACAGCATAACCATGTATGAGTCCCTGGTTTATGTTGCAATATAGAAACAGCTTAAACTCCGCAAGTACTGCATTTGAACATTACTGGCTAACCAAATTCTTTATATAATCATAATTTCAGTACCATCAAGTTATTCAGGCAATTAAAATTGTTCTTTTGGTATATTCAATGGAATCTAGTCATCATTGGGTTATTACATATTTTATTAATTAATATAAAACGAATTTATCTAAAATAATATAATTGTTACATTTATCAAATATTAATAGTAGGATATATAACAAAACTGAAACATTTTCTTAATTATTTCTATTTATAATAATAATAGATCTTCAAATTGATTTATTATTAGCATAATAAATTTGAATATGATTTATTATCATAATAAAATTGATAAACTTAAAGTTAAATGTTAAACAATTAAATTTATTATATTTCTAATACATTCTATTTATTAGAAGACAAGAATTTGAGAGATGATAATATTGGATAATAAAATAAATAGAATTATTTAAATGTGAATATATTACAAATTAGTAGGATTGTGTAAAAAGTATTTAGATATAATTAAATCAATTAATAATTTATTGAAGAACTATAATTTTATTGGTTATGAGGATCTTAAAAATAATTAGTGTTTCCATAAATTTAAAGTTTAATATTTAAATATTATTTTATTTGGTTAAATTTAAATTAAAATTAAGATCCACATGGTTTGTATATAGAATTTTCTGTAATTTATTATTGATTATTATATATATCAACTACTTAGTTTAGCTGTGAGGTCTTCTGATTTTTTTACAGAATCTACATGGTCGAATACTAGATTGTAAGCTTTTTATACAACTTCTATTTCAGAGAGTCTTTATTTAAATCATAGATTAATAATACCTTTAAGTTTATCTACTAATATATGCTTAATGATATTATTCTTATTATTCCTTTGTTAATTGAAGTAATTCTTCTGTAAGAGGAATATCAATTAATAGTTATTCTTTTTAAGCTAACACTATTTTCTATTAATATATATTATGATTCTTACTTATTAATTGAATTTATCATCAAATTATTGATTTAAATTTTCAAGATCAGTTGATAATCTCTTTCTCAAAGTCTCAATTTCAGTCATAGAATTATCAAAATTAGTTGATGCCACTTCTTCTGCTGCAATATCTTCATTTAAACTTTTAGTAGCTGCATCTCTAATTTATACTAATTTTTCTAAGATTCTTTAAACTGTTGAAACATCAAATCTAGTTGTTAATTTAATCAAAATAGTAATTGGATGATTAGGTCCAAATTATTCATGACATTCACTATGAATCTAGGCTAATATAGCTTATCTATTTTCATCAGTAGTTTATTCATCAACAGCTTTGCTAAGTTTTTCAATAATAAGATTTAATGCATTAATAACTTTATTTGCAGATTAAACTCTTCTATTATAAGCTTAAATATCAGCAGCTCTGGCATTTCTAATAAATTATTCTTGTTCATTTAATATTGACAATTGCTTTTCATATGTTATAATAGTTTCTCTTAAAATAACCAATAATTCAGCTAAAGTTTAAATGAGAACATTTGCATTTGCTAAATCTGTATTTAATTTTGAGAGATCATCTTCTAATTGACTTATATTTTAATCAAAAACTGCCATTTATCTTGAGTGTTCAACATCATCATCAACTTAATCTTATTTCAATGAATCTAACAATTCTTTTATCAATTTCAGAACTTCATCAACTTATGCTCCTGTTTCTAATTTGATTTACACTAATTCTTTTAATTAATCACTATAAGGACTTTAGCCAAACTACAAGACTCAATACTTGTTAATACTTAATGGAATGACTTCATTAATAACGAGGCTTAAGGTGTCATGGCTGATAAACATACTCCAATAGTCATAATCAATAAATTAAAACGGATTAAGGTCATTTTGATATTATAAATTAATTATTGAACTGCGTTATCATCTATATATTATTAAATTGAATTGATATATCATTCATGTTAGACTTATTTTCTAACTGCATCACTTAATGAATATTCTGATCTCTCATATGATTCTACTTACTAAAATAAAAATAAAATAATTACTTTATCTTTTACATAATCATCAACTCTTTATTTAAATTTGTCTTCAGAAGTTCCAACTTAAGTTGAATAGATTCTGTATACATCAGTGAATAAATTAAGTTCCTCTTGTAATCTAGCTTTATTTTTATTATATTAGTCCTCTTCTATTTTTAAGTCCTATCCATATTTTAATTTAGAGATACTTCAATTGCTCTTTATTATTATTATTGTAAAGCAACACCTCTTTCTCTACAATTTACTGCAGCTAATCTAGCTTGGACTAATTATTCTTATAGTTTAATGATATTTTTCTCTTCAGATGAGAGATCGTAATTGATTTATTCATTTTCAATATCAATTGCTCCCTTAAAGTCAGCCAAAGTGACTCCAGTTGTGATTTCTAAATTCTAAGAATTTTTTATTTATTCTCTAATGTATCTCTCCATATCATCAAGCATCTCAATCAATTATCCTTTAACTGTATTGATATTTCCTTAAGAAGATGGGGTTACTTAAGTCCAATCAATAAACATTGTATCAGCAAACTCATGAGCTAATTCTACAAGTTCTGACATTTTTGCAGATTTATACATTGTTAAGAATTTCTCTACATATGCTCCATATCTATTTAATTAATTGTTATCTAAGTTTTATAAGGAATTTCTCAAAAATATTATAAGTCTCAATGTCATATTATCATTTTTAACTCTTTCAATATAGTTGGATGAATGTGTGCATCTAATTTATATTTGTATCAACTACCTGTTATTATCAAGGGTTTCTACTCTTCTTGCATTATCAACAAGTCTTCTTTGTAAATAAGCAATAAATTTATTAGTTTTATCAATGTCAGATTCTCTATCAGAAACTGATTTATCTCGACTTGCGCATAAAAAGTTTTATTCTTAAATGGCTTTGCCCAAATTAAAAATGATATTCTCTTTCAACTAAAAGGTCTATTACATTCAATACATTTTTGGAAACTGTATAATCTGTATTGAGTGCTGTAAGTTCAACAGCTGATGCTCCCTTTAAGTCAGCCAACAATTTCTCTACTGTATCAACTTCATTCTGACACAAAACACCAACAAATAACAATAATAAAAGGCTCTTCATGCCGTTTTTTAATTTTTTTATATTAAATGAGTTTACATAATAACAAACAAAATAATTATACAAAGAACTTGAAAGACTAATATTTTAATATCATCTTATAAAATAGAAATAATCAATAATCTATTTTCTCAAAATAAAATGATAATTATTGTAAAGATAAATCAAAGTTGATAACATTTATTTTTATTAATTTATGAATGAAAGATTATGTTAAAATAGAAAATATATTTAATAAATAATTAAGAAAATTAATAATATAACAAATGTTATTGTTCTTTTTATGTTTATTATAAATAAACATCATTTTTTTGCTTATTAAGCTGCTTACTTCTTTTTTTCAGCCTCAAGTCTTTCTTTCTCTTTTTGATCTAACCATTCTTTTTTTGCTGCTTCAAAATTTCTATCATATTTGATATCTTATTGATTTGCAATATTTTATAAAGTTGTTCTTCCTTAAGGACCTTCAGC